TTTTTCAAAATAATTAATTGAAGATATAATAGGTAATTTTTTTTTATCCTTTTTTGATTTATCAAATTAAATAAATAAAAAAAACAAGTAAAATAAATATTTAAGAACAGACGGAGTAAATCGCAAAATGAGCTTGTATAAAATTGGTATTGGTGAATGAAAGAAATGGACATGACCCGCAAGTTAGCGTAGCATTAATTTGCGCCAACCTACCTATTTCCTAGACCTTTCTGAAATCTTTCATTGAAAAATAAGAAGTTGGTTTTCGCTTTCTCTTCTATAAAAGGAGAGAAAGACACCAAACTCCACCATTAATCTTCTTTCAGGTTTCACCTTGCCGTTGAAAGACACAACATTCATGGCTTCCATCAACATTTCTTTCCCTTCAACATCTCTCAGTCGATCCCAGTAAGCTTTTTCTTTTCAAGAATCAATCTGTTGATTTTAGGAATCTGGGTTTTGTAGTGTCCTGTTATGGGTTCTTTCTTTTTATGATGGGTATGTTTGAATTCACCGTGGATGCATTTTTTGAAAAGGGAAAGCTTTATTGACTTGGATTTGTACATTTCTTGAATGGTTTCTTGGAATTGTTCTTGTTTGAACTTTACAGAGTCGCACTCTGTTTTACAATTTTACTGCTTTTCAAGATTCTTTGTTTGACTTGGTGATGGATTATTTAGGTATTGAGGCGTAGTAGTAGTAGTTTAATTGACATGTAGCATATCTAGTCATGTAAAAACTTGCTAAGATCTGTCAATAGCATCAGCTTAGTTTATAATGTGGTTGAACATTCTCCATTCACCTGTTTAAATATTGATTTCTCACCTTTCAATTTCTTAAATAATTGCAGGATTATGAGTTTTCCCTAATCTGCTAACTTTTCTTGTAGAGCATTAAAGAACTTCAAGTTGTTCAATGGATTGCATTCCGGAGATCTAGTTTCTCTTAATGGGGTATCTTCAGGGTCATTCATACGGCTTAATGCTAGACCACACTTAACCATCAAGAATGATTTCAAGATTAATTCTGCATTGCTATCTGGTGAAGGAGACATTCGTTCTCAATCCAGGGGAGAAGCTTCTCTGTTTAGTAGCCTCTCTACAGGAACTGAGACTCAACCTGATGCTGTAACCTTTGCAACGCTAGAAGCAGATGGTGTTCCTACAACAAGTGGTTTTCTTTCAGATGATGATGAATGTGATTTGGATTGTCCGACGGAAGGTTTTTCATCTGTGCCTGAGGCTATTGAAGACATTCGCCAAGGAAAGGTAGGTTCTTCTTAAAAGTCAACAAGAGTTTTTCTTATGTTTGTAAAAATAAACTTAAGTCAATCCTTATTGCAGATGGTGCTAGTTACAGATGATGAAGACAGAGAAAATGAAGGGGATTTAGTTATGGCTGCATCCAAAGCTACATCAGAAGCAATGGCTTTCTTTGTGAAGTATGGAACAGGGATAGTTTGTGTGAGCATGACAGAAGAACACTTGGAGAGGTTACAGCTTCCATTGATGGTAAACGATAAAAAGAATGAGGAGAAACTTTGTACAGCATTCACAGTCTCAGTGGTATGTATTAACTTGATTACTTACGTTTGCATCTCTTTTTGTAAGGGTGGAGTTGGGGGTGGTATGGGGGATGTGCAAGGGAGCTTCCTTAATGGCAAGTGAGTTCTCATTTCAGAATTTGGGAATTTAACATTTCTAAACCTGCCTGATACAGTCAAATTACTAAGTTGTTTGATATCTAAACCATACCAACTAAAGAAAGAAGAAAAAAACATGTAAGAATTTTTCTGCTACAAATTTTGTGGGATGCTTTGTAAACAGAAAGAGTATTACTGTACCAAGTCCAACACTATAATTGTTGTGTAAGCACGCCTACTTGCCTTACCATTTTTCCAATTGGAGAGTTACTCTCAATCAATGCTGGGATATTGTGTTCTCCAGGGAATATTTCAAGGATCTACCATCTAGTGTATGCTATTCTGGCAACTGTGTGGAATACGACAACCTTTATCTTCAATGTTTTACTTCTACGTTTAATAAGGGCTAAAACATAAATGAACATACCTAAGGCTTGTTTCTGAAAGATGTTCCAACATTTAATTCTTTTAATTTGGTTTCTGTGCTAAAAGATCTCTTGAGAATTATCCGTCCTGTGTGATCCCTCTTGCTGCTAGTTGTCCTTTCAGCATCCTAGTCTTGTCTCCTTCTAATTGGATGCTTACGAAGGATTAATGGTAAAACAATCATGCAGGACGCTAAACATGGAACGACTACAGGAGTATCTGCTCATGATAGAGCAACGACAGTATTGGCACTTGCATCCGGAGATTCAAAGCCTGAGGATTTCAATCGCCCGGGGCATATTTTTCCTTTGAAATATAGGGAAGGCGGGGTTTTAAAACGAGCTGGACATACTGAGGCTTCTGTGGATCTTGCCGTGTTAGCTGGCTTAGACCCTGTTGGAGTAATATGTGAGGTTGTGGATGATGATGGTTCCATGGCTAGATTGCCTATGCTTCGTAAATTTGCAAAAGAACATAACTTGAAGATCATATCAGTTGCTGACTTAATCAGGTGGTTAACAGATCTGCTTCTGATTTCTTTAAGAGTTGGTGTTATGTTACCAATTTCAAATAAAAAAATTTCTTTAAGAGTTGGTGTTGCTGAATAAATTCTTTCGTGGTTTATTGTTTTGTCATGCTTTAACGAGGTGATAAATACTTCTGATGGTTCTAAAGTGAGGCTTCCTTTTCTGAGTGGATCTATTTTTCTATTTAGCTTCTTCTTTCTTTTATCTACTGCATACTAGGCAGTTAATTTGGGAGATTGTGCAAAAGTCCATGCCCCTTATTCCTCAAGAGAAACCAAGAGATGTGTTAAAGTTCTGATTTGATAGTCAGGAGCACCCTGTAATAGCTTCCTAATCCTGATTTCCACATTCTATTTTTGGGTAAACCACTTCTTAGTATACTTCAGACAGTTCCCATTTAAGTCAATGATTTCCTTATATTGTGTAAGCTTACTTATCCCCAAAAACTGTAAGCTTAGCTCTCACTTCTAAGGATGAAGATAGACTTAGGCTTTTCTATCATTGGGCATCATGGAATCAATGGTGATATAAATCTTTTCAGTTACTGAACAACCAGACTACAAGAGATTGGAGATGCAGCAAGTCTTTGAAGAAACTTTATCTTCATGGGTTGGTGCATTGCATCTGTTCTTTTACTAAATTGTGTCTGCCAACACATCCATGTGCTAACATACTATGTCTAGTTTAGTTTTACTTGATCAAAAGAAGTCTACTTTTGATTTTTTTTTTCATTTCGTTTGCATTTAGCTGCATTAATATCTTAAAACTCAGTAGATGTGACTTCTCTTATCCTTGCTTTGTCCAGCAAATGCTTGAAAGCAAGCTTTCATTTATCATTTCTGCTACATTAGCTTTTGGTACATCATCTGACAAGAACTTCCTTTTACAGATATAGGAGGAAAACAGATCAGCTGGTAGAGCATGCTTCTGCTGCAAGAATACCTACTATGTGGGGCCCGTTTACTGCCCATTGCTTCAAGTCAATAATAGATGGAATTGAGCACATTGCTATGGTTAAGGTAAGCAACTTTCAGGATATTCTCGCATATATCTTCGGCAGTGGTTGGACAACTCGAAGTTGTACAAACATATCAGTTTGTTGTGCTTCACTAATCACAAAACTAGATATCTTATCTATTTGAAACATGAAGTTCCATCTTCTTCTTAAGTGGAAAGGGGACGAGCACGTTTACTATTGTATCTTACATCACTTTACAGTTTGACGTACAGTTTGACATCCTTGTAGAATTTTATTAATGCAAACTATGGGTGTATTTGGCTTGACAAGTTCATTTTGTTGGTACTGATTTGGGATGAATTTGTTGAATGACCAGGGGGATATAGGAGATGGACAAGATATTCTTGTCCGGGTACACTCGGAATGCCTCACAGGAGATATATTTGGTTCAGCCAGATGTGACTGTGGATCCCAGCTGGCAACTGCAATGCAACAAATTGAGGCTGCTGGCAGGGGGGTTTTGGTTTACCTCCGTGGTCATGAGGGTAGAGGCATTGGTTTGGGTCACAAACTTCGTGCTTATAATTTACAAGATGCTGGACGTGATACTGTTGAAGCGAATGAAGATCTTGGTTTGCCCATTGATTCAAGAGAGTACGGGGTTGGTGCACAGGTACTCACTTCCTATATAGGCTGTCTCTGGATTGTGCTGTAACTTTTGTGTAAATCTTGTTGTCTTAACGCAAAACTAATTTTTTTTCATCTGCAGATCTTAAGGGATCTTGGTGTTCGAACTATGAAGCTGATGACTAACAATCCTGCAAAATACAGCGGGCTCAAGGGTTATGGTTTGGCAATTTCTGGTAGGGTCCCCGTTGTGACTCCCATTACAAAAGATAACAAGAGATATTTGGAAACAAAACGTGCTAAAATGGGCCATGTATACGGTTTGAACCTTATTCGCCCGGCAACCAGCACCAGCACCAGCACCAGCACAACAAATGGTAAACCAAACTCTGAGAATACTTCTACTATAAGATGATCTGGTTGGCGAACAACTTGCTTGAGGAATAGCTATCACCTTTAACACATAATTCAAATATTAATCATTATTTATTGCTCATCGTACCTAAATATTGATTTCTTGGTGCTGATATTTTACGGACAATTCTTTTTGTCCTTGGATGTATATTAGCAATTATGAGAAGTAATGCAATTCACCTTGTCAAGTGTTAGTGAAAGCCAACAGAGACTTTGCTGATAACAAAGAGTATGTATGTACGTACACATATCATCACGATTTAAGTTTATATGACACATGTTTTTCATTGATTCAAACAAAGAGTACTAGTGATGAATGAAGAAAACAAGAAGCAACAAGCAAAGCAAAACAAAACAAGAAATATTACATAATAATGTACTAGTTCCGTTTTATCCAAATGGAAGGAATGCTACTTTGGAAGTGGAGAACAAAATGTCAAGATATCATCATCTCTCTCGAATTCAGCCATGTCATTCTCCTTCAAACTAACCCATGCTTCTACTCCATCACCATCCTTTGTGTCCATCAGCATAATGACTTCAATAGCATCAAGGCTAACGGAGCTCACCCAGAATGGCTTTCCCCAACCAAAGTCAGCTTCATACCAAGAGAATCCACACCAACTAGTGCACGAATAAATGTCCATCTCGTCACCTTGGCAAAACATGTCTACTGCTTTTATCTGATTGTTAACAACTAAAGAGAAAACATCATCAACTCTTGTCGCCTTACCAATGCTTACGCATGTGTCCCGTATTGTATTTCCTACCAACTCATGATTCAACTCCTGGCTTGCCTCTAGATCAGCAATTCCAAACATGGTACCATTACCTAGAGCATGTTCTAAAGATGGTAACTTTGATTTTCCTCTCAAATTAATAGGAAATAAAAAAGATGAGCCCCTTGAATGTCCATTTTTGGCGGTGGAAATGCCTGCAAGAACCTTCCATATTACCGACATAACGACCATCACTCTAGTAGGCTTAATGGCACTTGAATAATTGATTGTATTTTTGAGCTTAGTTATCGCCAAAGCATCAAACACAAACCTCCTCGTGAAACTCTTAGTGCCCCTGTTGGATGGTGGTGAATATTGAATTCCTGATAGCACTCTTGTGGGAAATAGCGATGACAAGTGACCAAAACTTGAGAGACAATCTTTTGTCGTTCCTGTAAGGCAAGTGTGCGCCCATTCCTTGACAAATGTTGCTAAAGTGAAAGCATCAGCTACGATGTGTGAAATTTGTATGGCTATGACTAGTCCTCCACAATTGAATAGGTTCACTTGGACACCAAGTAATGGACTTGATGGTAGATCTGAGTATGGTGGAACAGCACTAGGCCATGGAAGAAAATCATTCAAAAGCTCAGTGTTGGGTCCTTGGTGAAGAAATTCAGCAAGATCCGCGTTGACTTTGGTTTGGACATACTCAACACCTTCATCATTGCACTGAATTGAGAATTCATCTTCATTAAATCTCCCTGCTATAGGGTAAAAGTTGGTTAATATCTGGGCCAAAGATTTTTGCAACTTATCACATCTTTCAGTAGTCGTACTGCAGCTTGGCAAGTAGTGGAAGAGTACTGGCACATATGCACGAGGAACCATCTGATCGAAAAATGAAAGCTTGAGGGTCTGAAGATGATTCGGGGTAGGAATTGAGGGCTTCAACATTTTCCTGCTATGGATTTGGATCTCTAACTTGGCCATTAATTAATTAGGATTAGCAACAAAAGAGAGTTTGAATACACTAGAGTGTTTCTTAATAGGAAATAAAATAGTATCTGCTAATGAAAAGGATCTGAGCAATTAAAAATGTGTGGATGCATTTTTGGACCAGACTATTAACTGCTGACATTTTGTTTAAATTGTATATATTCTGCTTGTTGTTTATTAAATAAAAGCAAATGGTTCTATCAATAAGCCGGCCCAGAAGTGACCGGCCGAGCTCAAACAAAAATACAGGCATTGATCCAATCTAGAAGCCTCTGGAAAAAATAAAATCCAAACTGATTCTCTCAATTTTATTTGCATACGAATTTATATAATACAGTTAAAGAGAAGCACTAGAAATTTGGACTAATAGATATGCCTAAAATGGATCAAGCTGATTGGTTCAACAAACAAAGATAAATTAATAACTCTTAACTCTAAAGTGAAACCATCAGCTAGGATTTGTATCCCATGACTCAAGAAGATACATATATAAAGATAGTTTGAAAAATAATGAGTATCTACCAACTCGGCAAACAACATAATTTGTTTGTGATGAATGGAGAAAACAAGAAATCGAAAGGAATGGATCCAATGCTATTTTGGAAGTGGAGATCGAACAAAATGTCAAAATATCAGCATCTCTCTCGAATTCAGCCATGACATTCTCCTTCAAACTAACCCATGCTTCTATTCCATCACCATTTTTGGTATCCATCAGACAGATTAATTCAAGAGCGTCAAAGCTAACGGAGCTCACCCAGAATGGCTTTCCCCAACCAAAGTTTAACTTTATACCAAGAGAATCCTCACCAACTACTGCACACATAAATGTCCATCTTCTCTCCTTGGAGAAATTTCTCATTAACTTTTGTGTGATTGTTAACAACTAAAGAGGAAATATCATCAACGCTTGCCGCCTTACCAATCAATGCCTGCACATGTGTCCCGTATTGTATTTCCTACCAACTCATGATTCAACTCCTTTTCTGCCTCTAGATTAGCAATTCCAGACATCGTACAGTTCCCTAGAGCATCATCCTCTAAACATGGTAAATTTGATTTTCCCCTCATATTAATAAGAACTACAAAAGACGAGTCCCTTCAATGTCCATGTTTGGTGGTGGAAATGCCCACAAGAACCTTCCATATTAACGACATAACGACTACCACGCTAGTAGGCCTGATGGCACTTGAATCTTCGATTGTATTTTTTAGCTTAGTTATTGCCAAGGCATCAAACTCAAACCTCCTCGTGATAGTCTTAGGGCCTCTGTTGGATGGTGGTAAAAATTGAGTTCCTGATCGCAGTGTTGTTGGAAAGAGCGATGACAAGTGACCGAAGCTTGGGAGACAATCTTTTGTCTTTCCTGTAAGGCTAGTGTTCGCCCATTCATTGAGAAATGTTGCTAAAGTGAAAGCATTGTTGGGTTATGAAGGGTGATTAGGGCGTCATGCGAAAGCTTACAATTGCAATCAAGACGGTGATAAATTAGATGACAAATAAAGCCATACTAAAACATAATATTATTAATATGAAAACTAATTATTTAAAAGAAAAATATTATAAATTGTTGAGAGAATAAATCTCCCCATAAACTAAAGTTTTTAAATGTCTACATTGTAGATACTATTGTGTTATGCTATAAGAATAGGGATCTTCAATTTATAGATTTCCAAACATTTCCTCTAAGGAAAGAATAAACCAAATATAAGAAAATTATATTTTCCTTTCAGAAAAAGTTCAAGCATTTATGGTAATACTTTGACTTTTCTTTAAGGAAAAAAAAAAAAAAACTTCAAATAAGGTAAGAAAATCAAAGCAAAACCCTAACAAGCATCAGCTACGATGTGTGAAATTTGTATCGCTATGACTGTCCTCCACAATTGAATAGGTTCACTTGGACAGCAAGTAATGGAGTTGATGGCAGATCTGAGTATGGAGGAACAGTACTAGGCCATGGAAGAAAATCATTCAAAAGCTCCGTGTTGGGTCCTTGGTGGAGAAACTCAGCAAGATCCGCATTAACTTTGGTTTCAACATACTCAATGCCTTTATCATTGCAGTGAATTGAGAATTCACCTTCAATAAGTCTCCCTGCTATAGGGAAAAACTTGGTTAATGTCTGGGCCAAAGATTTTTGGAGCTTATCACATCTTTCAGTAATTGTTCCTTCAGTATTGCTTGGCAAGTAGTGGAAGAGTACTGGCACATATGCATGAGGACCAGCTCATCGAACAATGAAAGCTTGAGGGTCCGAAGATGATTCGGGGTTGGAGTTGAGGACTTCAACATTATCCTTGTCTGAATTTCAATCTCTAACTTGGCCATTAAATAGGATTAGCAACAAAAGAGAAAGTATTTCTTAGTATTATATAGTGTCTGGTAATGAAAAGGAGCAAAAATGTCTAGACTGTTCCTTTTTGTTTTGGCTGTATTTATAAAGCCCATTTCAAAACTACAGACAGTCCCATGTGTTATGTCAACCTGTTTCTGCATATTTGGTTATACTCGTTCTCGTTGTCAGGGCATCAGTTTATAAGAAATATTCGCTGAAAACTCAATAACAAATAGTATCTTGATCCCACGCGATCCATGTGCTCATTTGAGTTTTATATCAATATTATTTCAGATCAATCAGGGGTGGACACACATGTTTAAATATACTAATACATAAACGATATGTATAAATCATATATTATCTGTCAACAGATCAGCTAACTCATTTCCTTACAACAGGTGACAACTTGATCCCTCCACATTCACAGTTCAATTGAAATTGGATATTCCTTTTCATCATATAAATAAACAGGGAAAAACCAAAACAGAATCTTATCACTACGCTCTTATGAAAATTCTACACTTCAAAATGAATCATTTTATCCACATGGAGGAATCAAATGCTACTTTTGAAGTGTATGACAATATTTCAGAATCTCTCTCGAATTCAGTCATTTCATTCTCCTTCAAACTAACCCATGCATGCTTCTATTCCGTCACCATCTTTTGTGTCATTTAGGATAAATACTTCAAAAGGCTTGCTAACACTGCTCACCCAAAATGGCTTTCCCCAACCAAAGTCTGCTTCGTACCAGGGGAATCTGCACTAACTAGCTTGGATAAATGTCTATCGCGTCTCCTAGACCAAGTTTGTTTATAACTTCTGTGCCACAGGTAGCAAACATGGATGTAATATCATCAATGTTTGCCTTACCAATGCTTGCAGATGTGTCCCTTGTTGTACTTCCTACCACGTTAACAAAGCCATTTAACTCATTTCTCAACTGGTTTGCCTCAACAGAAGCAACAACCGTCACGTATAAATTCCCTAGAGCATTCTCTAAAGAAGGCAAATTTAATTTTCCCCTCAAATTAATCGGAAATAGTAAAGACGACGACCCCCTTGAATGTCCATGTCTGGTTATTGAATTGCCTACTAGAACCTTCCATAGGAATGAAAGAAGGACCACCAGTCGAGTAGGTCTGGTGAATGTGGCACTCAAATTGATTCTGTCTTTGAGATTTGCTATTGCGAAAGCATCAAACACAAACCTCTTGGTGACAATCTTAGGGCCTACGTTGGACTTGAGGTCCTGATAGCACTGTTGGGGGAAAGAGCGATGACAAGTGACCGTAACTTTGGAGACAATCTTTTGTTGTCCCTGTTTGGGTAATGTGTGCCCATTCCTTGACAAATGATCCTAATGTGAAACCATCAGCTAGAATATGTGAAATATTTATCCCAATGACTAGTCCTCCACAATTGAAGATGTTCACTTGGACTCTAAGTAGTAAACTTGATGGCAAATCAGTTGGAAGAAAGTCGTTCAAAAGCTCAATCTTGATGGAGAAACTCAGCAAGAGCCGCATTGACTTTGGATTCAACACCTTGGTCGTTGCAGTGAATAGAGGTGTCATCTTTATTAAATCTTCCAGCTAGAGGGTAAAACTTGGTTAAAGTATCGGCTAAAGATTGTTGCAACTTGTCACATCTAATTTGATCAGTAATTCGTGCAACAATATTGATTGGTACAAATATATGAGGAGCACTCTAATCAAACAATGAAAGTTTGAGGGTCCGTAGATGATTTGGGGTAGGAGTTGAAGGCTTTACCATTTTCCTTAGCTGGATTTGAATATCTAAATGAGCCATTAAGATACCAAAAACAACAGAGAATTAAGAAATAAGTAGTAGTATTTGGAAATGATGGCAAGAGTTACTTTTTCTCTTTTTGTTGATTTCGAGTGGTTTGTTTTTAAGGAGGGCTTAACGCACGTTTTAATACAAGATGGCAACGCAGGTGTACTTTGAACCAATAATACATACATACACTAGGCGTTTCTGGCGGCATTTTGCAAACTTTGGTAAGCATTAGTTTATTGCTCTCAATTATCATTCATTATAGTAACGATTTTTATTAGACTTACTACTAAATTTAATTAGGAGTATTATATATCCACATATTTCACAAAGGGATAAAGGAGGGGTCAACGGAGATGATTCTGAACTTCTGATAGCAACATTTTGATCTCTGACTCGTTCCAGCAAAGATACAATTTTTTTTAAAAAGTAACAAGTGTTGTTATAATGCTACTATATGGCTTAGATTTCTCGGCTCAGAGGATGGTAATAACACCCCACTACCGTCAAACGCAGCTTGCAATTGCTTATATATCGATAATTCATCAAACAAAGCAACTTGCAATTGCTTATATATCGTTAATTAATCAAATTAAGTTGCAATAGCTTAGGTCTTGAAATTAGATTAATTTGAAGTTGAAGAAATTTTATTTGGACATATAATTTGAATTTTTCAAGCGATATCTTTTTCTCCATAATTTGTGAGAACTATCAAAACTTCTTTGACTCATATGCAACCTTACCAAATGGACGAACCACAGTTAATAAACAAAGTACTGAAAGGCGCCCAATTAGTAAAAAGATTCACACGTCAAATAAAGCAATAATAGTAGTAATTAATTGTTCATTAATATAATCCCCTCACAAAGTACCAACTATCTTCACTTTGACACAATTTTTTTTTCTTTTTACAAGATTTAAAATGATGGATCTTTATTTGCAAATAATAAACTTATGAGTCAAATTATATATTTTTAAAAAACTGAAATCACTACTTGAAATTTGAAATTGAAGTTCTGTTCACATTTCATTAACAAATGCTAATTTCAATCAAATTTGAGCCCTAAATCCAATGGCCGTTACACTCTCGATAATTTCTTCGCAATAAACATTTACATTCTTACATTCTAGTCCTTGGTGAAACAACTCAGCTAGCTTTCCATCTACTTTTGTTTGCAAGCATTCAACACCATGGTCACTGCAATCAATAAAGAGAAAAACCTTGATCCTTGACAAGTCTTCCGGTAAGTGGATAAAACTTGGATGAAGGAAGTTCACCTTGGTCACCATAAACAAAGACTGTTTTACACATCAATTAATTAACGCCATATTTTCCATCATACGGTATTTACAGAAGAGCTCATGTGTGAATGCTTCAATCAATCACGGAGATAAATGACAGTTTCTTAATCTTGCCTCTCCTCTTCAGTATCATGCAAAAGGACACCTCGGACTCTGGCCCTGTAAACCGAGCAACTACTCATTGAAGTAACACTTTTAATATCGATGCAAGGATAAGTTGAATTAACTTACCTACGATGTGCTGGTACCACACGGTTAGTCACCTTAGTAGAGGGAAGTTGGGCTGCTTGCTTAACTGCAATTGGGTAAAGGATGAACGAATTAACAGATTAAATGCAGTAATATCTACAAGTAGACAATTAGCTGCAGCAACAGTGATTGTTAATGGTAAAATTAAAATCCATTTATACATGTCAGTGGACATCACATAAAGGATGTGAATTGTTCTCCTACAGAATACTTAATAGAGAAGAAAAAATAGGACAATAGAGGAAGTCTGGGATTGGTAAAAGGTATAGTCTGCAAATACATCCTAGGAGGAAAATTATAAAAAAAAGCCTTTGATACAGAAATTTTCGGAAACTTATTAATTGCATTATCAAGTTTCTTTCGTCTTTTCTCCACATTAATAAACTAGCCAAGGCTTTGATCACTAATCTAAACTTGTTCAAACATAGTTGAAGAATCGAAATTCAATCCTGTACATGCCTCATTTCCACTTTCCACTTCAAAATGGATATATATTTTTAACTATACCTGGAGACTCTAGTGAGCTACTGACAGTTGCAGTATCTGAGGCTGTGTTTTCAGTAATCTTTTGTCTTTTAGAGTACAGAAGTGCATCGAGTTGCTTCTGCGCAGTTTCATTCTTTTCCTGCCAAGTAAACAAAACAACTATAAACAACATAATTGTACTCCTTACAGTCTAGCAACACTTCTTTACATCCCAAGTTCTGGTTGGGGATTTTACTTTCTGAGATTGTCATAAAATAACATGCATTTCCTACTATTGAATGCTTTACCACGTACAACAAATCTGCACATAAAAAAGGCTACATAGGAAGCAGTTTTATAAACTACAAACCAACTCCCACACTTCTCAATCACTAACATCACATCAACCAACTACTTTTTTCTCAAGTTCCAGAGTTTGACAGGTTATGACCTGGTCAATACTGTGGTGGTGGGCAAGGAGACTACTCGTGTCTCTGTGCTTTTGATGGGAGGGTGTGGTGCGCTACAAAGTATAGCAAGACGGATTGAGCAACAGTTTTTTTTTTCCTAAGTGCAGTTAAGACAACACAGAGAAATATAATGGAGCTAACATCCTTCATCTATTGGATAGTGAGCACGATTTCATTTTTAAGAAAAAAAGGATAAACATGTTCAGTCAAATAGCGAGGACAAGAAGAAAAAGATTATCGTATAATACAGATCAAAAACCTCAAGTTCCCCATGAATAAATGAAATTACATGAGATGGAACAAAGGAAAATAAAAACAAGCATTTAATCATTTGTAAAGCAACTAGCATAGACAAAGTCAAATTTCACAAAAGTTCAAGGCTGATTGAAAAAAGAATACCTTTTCTTCAGATAATACATTTATCAACTCACAGCATCGTTGTTGCTCTGCAAAGAAAACAGCAAGAAAATGAAATGCACTCTCAAAAAGATAATGTATCGTTAGTCACATGAGGTCATCAAGAGTCAAAAGGAACTTGTAGAATTATTGGAGATTTGTTCACAAAACAGGGCAGAATAAGGAAAAAGTTGAGCATAGACGTGATAGCATATGAATAAGTTGAGGATATAGTGCAAACTGCACCATTTTAGTAAATTCTTACATGAAGGTTCTAAGATTGAACGAATGCAGAGGTGTGCAATATGTTTACTTTTTTATGTTAGACCTATGCTAGAGGTGCAAAAAGGGGACTTGGAAAGTTGTACCCATGCTAGAGTGGTAATTCTGAAAAGAAAAGACAACCAGAGTATACAAGTGGGAATGATACTATTTTAAAAACAATACGTACATTTCACACTTTTGGTAGACAGGCACAGTAACAATTGATGACACCACCTGATCGCCCTTTTGATAGCAATCTAAGATCACTCGTTCAGAAAGCAAGAAGTGCAAAAACATGACAGAACTCTTGGGTTCTAAGCGTGTAGCGAAAAGTGAACCATGCGCTTCTTCAAACTAAGGTGCACAATTTACCGAAATTACATAAATTAACTAACATATGAGAGTATAGTAAGTAAAAGAAACTTTACACGCAAACTAATTTCAATATCCAATGTACAAGCTTGACAAAATTAACATTAACTCAAATGAAATATCACTAGAACGCTAATTCCACCACCTCATGCAAAGTCACCTTCAAAGACTGAAGAAGGAAAAACAAAGAGATATAGACAGGCTACTGCAGCTTTTCTTGAAGAACTTAAAGAAGAAGCAGCAATGGGGCCTGACTGTCTAATCTTGAAATGGCACCACTGATAACACCAAAAACAGCTGGAAATACTTTCCATAAGCTTTAACCAATTAATTACAGGTATTCATCAATTAAATTAACAACATAAACCATTACTCACGGATCAGGGTACAGACCAGCTTTAAGCAAATTATGTACATTTGTGAATGTTGTGTAGAGTTCCAAAGAAAGATTTGCCATTGCTTCAGTTGCTGCAGTATCCACAAGTTTACTAAGTGATATAGCAATTCTTGGCATCCCCTTGGCTTTCTGGGCAACCAATTTTGCATGCGCAGCGCCTGAAAGAAAGAGCGAGGGGAGGGAGGAATCGATACATTGAAACCTCAAATATTCAAAAATTCCAACTAAGAAACTCATTCTAAAGAGAAACAACAGAAACAAAGGATGAAGGATAATTATTGTCATTGCACATGAAGAGGGTTGATAAGAAGATTACCTAAACCAATAATATATCTGTATAGTTTTTAGGACCTGACTTAACAAATAACTTCATATATTGGTTTAGACCTGGCATCATAAAATTTAGCCTCCCTTTGGAAGTTAATTTATTTCACTAACACTAAGAAATATTAAAATACTCCAGCGAGCACTGGTAAATTTTGTGACTCAAGGAATATTCGCAGCATTGAATCCAAAACTGTTTGAGCATAAACTTGGGTCGTTTTTAAGGATTATGGACAACCGATTTAGATTTATGTCTGATAGATCTCTGACAGAACTAAGTTCGATGAAAATATATTAACAGAGGAAAATATATCTTCACCTGATATTCAATGACTCAAGAAAACATATGATAGAGTGACAAGAAAAAATCTCATGAAGGTGTCAGAGAACAAAGAAATTCATATAAAATATATAAAGGATACACACAAATGAACTATCACAAGTGTGAGAATAATGTAAAGAGACATAGAGGAGTTTCTAATAACCGTATGTTTACATTAGAGATCTGACTTAAGCCCGTACTTGTTCACCATTGTTTCAACCTTCAGAACGTCTTCAAAATTAAACATCAATTCTATTGGAGATATGCTTTCTCATTTATCAAAAAACTAGGGCATATGCTTCTTGCTAAAAAGAGGAAAGAGAAAAGGAAATATTGTCTATACATATTATACCACTGAACAAATTTGAAGAGAATAAAATTAAAGATCACCTCCAACTTTTGACTGTCCATCCATAACAAGCTTCACATCTTCAGACTTTACGGCAGCTATAAGGTAATCTACAAAGTCAGACCAAGAGCCTCCTATACCAGTTCTGTCCCTCTGTATAGAATTATATGAAACCAGTGACTATGATTTGAAACATAAGAACCAAACTTCGCTTAGATCCTCTTAAGAATGAACCAGAAACAAAAAGATTAAAAAAAAAAGAAGAAGATGTCAAAAGAACAATGATTACAAATAAAACCACCAAAAAGATAGGCTAAACAAAGACAATTATGCAAGAATTAATTACTCATAAGTCATAACTCATAATTAGCATGTGGAATGTATGTTATATTCTCTTTTCTACCAAACAGCTTTTATTCCAGTTATCTAAAGAATATGTAAAATGTGTCCTGTCCATAGTTTCATCAACTAGTAATATCTACTTCAAACAGTTTTGAAGGAATCAATCGATATGTCGCAAGTCATACTATAGGCATTTATGGAAATTACTAAATACCATTCAGTTCAATATGAAGTTCGGAGAAAGTTCAGTTAGGTTTCTTTTACTTTCTCTCCCTCCTCCCTCTAAAAAAAGAAACGAAAATACAAAAGTAAAAGTTTTCATCCTAATAGTAGTACAAGCATCTAAATTGATAATTGGTTGGATTAAGCAATATTTCAAGTCTAATTGCTGGATTTGAGCTTAAATCCTCGTCATTTTTTTTAGAGTAATTAGATTTGTGTTTAAATTCTCTAATTGGTCTTCCCTAAATCTATCCACATTAGCAATTAGAGCAGAAAATCTAGAATTGAAATGAGAGAATCAAACTTTTGCAGGAGAAGCTGAGAAAATTCAAGCATAGAATTGAGAGTCCAAAATAAGAAGGAAAGTAAGTTGAATAGGAGGCAAACCATATCTTCAAGCTCCTGCGCAGACTTCAAAGCGTCCCATGTATTTGAATGGAAGTCAGTGGCGCAGACATGGAGGGTAGAGGGATCACTTGGCAATCCGTGGACATGAAAGAGGAAAGACTTTAAAGGGGTTTTGTGAGGTGCTGACCACTCTGCATTTATTCGCCCAAAAATTGGTTCCATTTCATCAAACCCCATTTCCAAATTTCTCTCAAAGAAAGGGGTTTTAGTAGGTTTATCACTGATACAAAAGCAAACTTTGCCTAGAGAAGAAAGCAAATTTTTTGTTGTTTTCTTCAGAGCAAAAGTCTATTAGGTTGTAGCTTGACCCACCATAGACGGTGATGTTCAAACTGGGTCATTTGCTCTTTTCATCCTACGAGCCTATGCACATGCTGATATACACTGATATACATCAGATGTATACTAAAAACGGGAATTGGGTTAAGCCCAGAAATCCAACAAATTTGGCCCAAAAGGAGGCCCAAATTCAATTTCTCTCTTACTCGTTAATTATTTAATTGTGATTATTTATTGTTTGTTATTTAACTCTAACTTTATAATTTTTAATTAACTTAATTAGATTCCCCAAAAAAAAAAAAAAAAAAAAAAAAGTCTTGAAAACTTGCGTGGCATGTTTATCCCCTAATTGACATTAAAAAATTTAATTTATATAAGTAAATATATCATAGTGAAACCTACATAAATTCATCGCTAAGTCTTTTGTATATAAATTTGACATAAGAATATAGCTCTTCACAAAATATAGCATGAAAATTTTGTATCAGATGTTGGAGATTTGATATTTTAATGTTTCACGAAAAATCAATCTTTTATTATATAAGAGGAATTAATATATTTTAATTACTAAACGTAAGTTTTAATAATAAAAAAAAGAAATTGGCTATGAAAAAAGATATGTATAAAGAAAAATATTACAAAATATCTAGGTGGTGTAACATCAAATTTATAGAAAAAATTACAAGTTCAAATGGAAAAGAAAGAAAAGTAAATAAAAACATGACATCCATTATAAAAGACATCACATCAATATATATATATATATAAAGCTGGAAAAAAAAGAGCTGATGTGGCATGCTTCATTGGCCTCTATTACTATTTATTTATTTTCTTAAAAAAAATTATTTTATTTTTTGTTCAAAAATACTTTTTAAACATTTACTCTCTGTCCTTATTATTAACAGTTACTCTCTTTCCTTACTATTAGCATTTTTACATTTACTTTTACCATCAAAATAAATTATGTAACAGCTAAGAACATAGTGGTGCATTTAGTATAATTATAACACGTAGTAATTTCTCCAATTAAATTTAGGGCGTTTTCCTAATCCACATAACTGATTATCTACAAATTAGCACTAATTAGAAAAGTTTAATTTTTTTTAGTAATTGCAACATTAATGATTATATTTAATTTTTAATAGCTATTTAAACTCTGTTAATCCCCACTATTTTCCTAAGCATATTCTCTCTACAGCTAATTAAATTCCTTCTAAGGCTTAAAGGTACATATTCATTCTCTATCTCATCAACAAAAATCCTCTTTCATTTCACATATGTAATCAGTTGCTAGGCTCCTTGATCTCTCTTCCTTTTTTAGATTATCTCTAACTACAGATGTCAAATTGTGGAGTGGTATTCGGCTAAAAGTTTATTATACTACGTTATTGGCAAATAATAACTTATTGCTTTATATTCTATGCATAATTGTATTGTTAGATTATTATTTTGAGTGTTTTGAGCTTATTATGAATTTTATGTGTGTAGAAAATGTATCAAATGAACATGATCGAAAAAAGAGGTGATTCTGGCTCCTTTTGAAACAAAGGAATAACGATTGAAGGATAACTAGGTCCTTGCCTCGCGAAACACACATGTGAAGAAAAAAAACAAGAGATTTTAAAGTTGATTGGACTTGCCACTGATCCTCTTGAAGTACAAGCCAAAAAAGATTATCTCAATGAATTTGGATTAATGATTTGATTCCTAATGAGGAAAGAACATGTGAATTTTGATCCATTTTTTGATTTAGTATATGTATCAATTATTTGTTAGTATATATGGCTTCCAAGTTCCAACTAATTATAGTCTCCTTGTGAATTATCATTATTTTATTTATTTTAAAATTTTCATCATTGAAATGATCTAATTGTCCATTCTTCATAAATATAATAGAAATTTGTTTCATTGAGAAATGCGTATATTTACAAATTATACTAAGAATGTCTAAGAATTTTCTTCTATTATTTGAATTAATTAAATTGTTCCAATTCATATAAATGTTGAAATAGTATAAGGATTTTAAAAATATGATTTTGAGAAAAGTGTTAAGAGGAAGCAGTCAAGAAAATTTTGAAAGCAATTAGAGAAGGGGTACATTACTTTTGGCTAAAAAGTTTTCTTACTGAACAAGTTGAGGTTTATAAAATTCCGTGACATTGTTCTTCATCAATACATTTTTAACCATTTTAACTTTTCGGATTATAAATAATTAGTAGAGAATAAATATTTCATATTTTGAATATTTTACAAAATTACATTTAATTTTTTTTTCCTTTTACTTTGTAATCTATAGTTTTTTTTACATAAGATATGGGTTATATTAACAAATATTTTTTAATGTTAGAATATCTACTTTTAAATTTAAAATTAGAGAATTTTGTAATTGCAAATTTTAAAAAATCTAAGCTATGAACTTAATTAATTATAAAATAGGTGATATGCAAAGTTTTTGAACTAATTTGAGAAAATAATTAAATTTGTATGCATAAATACATGAAGATTTCATCCATTAATCCATATTATATCTTGGATAAATTTGTAACGAGGTCATATCATATTCCTATTGTACTATTCCTATTATCTAATTTTTCACTTTTTAAAATCTTTTTCTCTCTTTTTAATTCGTTCTTTCTTAAGAGTCAAATGATACAAATTTCGATCAAAATTTCGTTAATATATATCTTCTTACTCATATTGATAAATACATGAGTAAAATTATAATTTATAGTACTTTTCATATATAAGCTTAGAGTTACTAAACAAGTTGAGGCTTATAAAATTCCGTGACATTGTTCTTCATCAATACATTTTTAACCATTTTAAATTTTACGAATTATAAATTAGTAGAGGATAAATATTTCATATTTTGAATATTTTACAAAATTAGATTTAATTTTTTTTTCCCTTTTACTTTGTAATCTATAGTTTTTTTTTTTACATAAGATATGGATTATATTAACAAATATTTTTTAATGTTGGAATATCTACTTTTAAATTTAAAATTAGAGAATTTTGTAATTGCAAATTTTAAAAAATCTAACCTATGAACTTAATCCATTAATCCATATTATATCTTGGATAAATTTGTAACAAGGTCATATCATATTCCTATTGTACTATTCCTATTATCTAATTTTTCACTTTTTAAAATTGTTTTCTCTCTTTTTAATTCGTTCTTTCTTAAGAGTCAAATGATATAAATTTCGATCAAAATTTAGTTAATATATATCTTTTTACTCATATTAATAAATACATGAGTAAAATTATAATTTATAATACTTTTCATATATAAGCTTAGAGAAAGACATTGTTAGTTGACTTAATTTTGGACATAGGATAATAACTAAGAAAAGAGTTTTAAATACTTATAATTAAATAAAAGAAAAATATTATTTCAAAATTTTAATCTTATAATCAAAAGAAATTGTAGTAAATACCTTTTAAGTTTTAACCGTCTAATTGAAGAGGAGCGATTCCATTGTAGTGGATTCTTATATTTCTTTTTTCCCTTTATATGTTTAGTTTCATTTATTTTTTATTGTTTTATTCTTAATGAAGGAAATTTTTGGAAAACAAATATGTCATATATATGATGAAAGAAACAAACCTACTACTATTAGAATCACATATATTGTATTTAAAAATGAAAATGTTTTTATATACCATTCATCTAACTCTAATTTTAATAACAAAATTATATAAGAAAGATTTCATAAATATTTTTAACTATTTTTTATGCATAGACATGAAAAGTTTTATCATATTTGTTTCACAAAATTTGTACTTTAGAAATATTTTCTAAATTGATTAATTTACCGCGCGAAGCGCGGATATGTTTCCTAGTTAAAATATATAGACAAATAAAAGGAGAATTATAATGTGCATTTTTAATTATATTTGTAAGGTCTAAAGATAGATGAAAGGTCTTTCCAATTAAATTTAATAGACAATTAATTTTTTTTTAAAAATAAAATGATAAATATACTTTTAAAGGACATTTGTGTTTGCACTTTTAATAGAATGATATTGTTGACTTATATTTTATTAAAATAAAAACAAAATGAAGCTTAATTACTCCATTCTCATTATATTTTTTACATGATTTTAATTTGAGGAATAGTTTTTAGTAGTAACAATTAAGGGTTGAAGGAATTCATAAAGAAACAACCAAAATGTCCAAAAGCAAAATTGTCATCATACCAACCATTTGAATATTAACACTACGGAAAGCTACCGTTAATATGAAATTTATGTTTAAGAAAACTATTATGCTTATTGTTGCATGAATGTAAATGTAACTCTCATTTTTATTCAAAAATGAAATTGTTAAATCTCATATTGTATAAATTGTCGAAAAATAAAAAATAAAACATAATGGTGAAAATGAACAATATATGTATGTGTTCGCAACACTATGTTAGACGATAGACGATAAAGTAACACAATCAAAATCTTTTATTCAAAGTAATAATCTTTTAGCAATCTTTATTTAAATTACTTGTATTTAAACAAAAGGATCTTGCATAAACTATTCAAGTATTATCGAACTCATCATGTATTAATAGAAGTTTTTTTCAATTAAGTAGCACTTAAAAGAATAATAACACAAAAACAAAGAAAAAAAATTCCAAAACAATGCAAAATGATACAAAATTACATAAAAATATGGATTGCTACCAAATTTATTTTGGACAACCATATTTAACTCCAAAATGGAAAAGAAACTTAAAATCATAAGCTAACATAAAAAAGATCTAAAGAAATATATAGGTCATATCTTATACTTCTAAGCTTAACACTTGCACTATATTGCAAGAAAATTTCTCTTTTTAATTTCAAAATGAAGCTATCAGTTAGCTTCTTGACGACATGTATCTATATCATTATCTAGAAAAGAAGAAACGAGAATAGTAGATGATAGAAAAGAAAAGAATATGATGATCAAAGGAGCAATTTATTGATGTTTATAGTGATATTTGATTGTGTTTTCACCTACCAAAATGTATTAATGGAGAATCATGATACATAAATTTTATTTTGATTTCAAAATTCAAAGAGTCATCGAATTGGAAGAGTTTCATACATTATTTTGTCTTCTACTCTAATTGAATTTAGCCTAATCAATTATAATTATAATGTCATAACTAAACAATTAAAGTGTAACTGTTGCACTTCATATTCCACCATTATGTAATTAAAATATCTAATAAATTAATTAATTTTATTTTGATTTAGTGGAGGAGTAAAATGGTAATCGAACTTTGAAAGTTGGAGCTTCCCACTTATAATAATATATATAAAATAAATATTATAATATATATATATATATATATGATTTTGTGCTCAAAATAAATAAATAAAAATTGCGAAATAGAAATTTATATATTTATAATTATTATACTCGATGAGTTATGCCCGACTAGATATAAATTAATTGTTTATAGAATAAGAAATTTAAATTAAATTCAATATTTTTTAAAGATAAATTATACAATTAAATGTGTAAAACAGTCTTTGATGTATAAATTTTGACTTTCGATATATCATTTGCATATTCCCATCAGGCTCATCATGTTTGGAACAAAAAAATGTGACAAGAAAACTGTTTGGTTTGATTTCTCTTCAAATTACAAGGTGAAATTAAACCAATATTCAAATGTAAAAAAAAGAAAAGAATTAATATAATGAGTATCTTAATAGATCCAAGGAATCTTAGTTTAAGCTGATCATATAATGTATCAGTTCTCTAAGGATTATTCAAATGCTGCTTTCCAAAGTGTTGGACAAAATGTAAGGGTCTCTCTCGAATTGAACCATGTCATTCTCCTTCAAAGCAATCCATACTTGTATTCCATCACCATCTTTTGTGTCCATCAGACTTATTCCTTCATAATTTTTGCTAACACTGCTCACCCACCATGGCTTCCTCCAACCAAAATCGGCTTTATACCAAGGAAATCTACACCAACTCGATCGTGCTGGGATAATTGTCTACATCTTTCTGGCCAAGTTTGCTTATAACTTCCGTGCCATAGGTAGCGGACAGAGAGGTAATATCATCGATGCTTGCCTTACCAATGCCTGCAGCTATGTCCCTTGTTGTACTTCCTACAAGTCACTTGACTCCTTCCTTGACTGGTTTGCCTCTACTGTAGCAACTACAGGAGCATGCTCTAAAGATGGTAAATTTGATTTTCCCCTCAAATTAACGGGAAATAATAAATGAGAATCCCTTGAATGTCCATGTTTGGCCGTAGAAATTCTCATAAGAACCTTCCGTATTAACGACAGGATGACCACCTGATAGCATCCATGTCAGCCTACTTGTATTGAAGTTGACGGGCTTCAATGAAAATCAAGAATATTTTATCACAAAAGAAGTGTCCAAATTCAAGTCCAAACGAAAGAAGATTGGGCCACACGTAGCCCAATAAAAGAGCCCAAAAAGTTGAATGCTTAAAGTCAAAATTTCTTATTTTAAAAGTTTTCCTAGTTTAACGTTTTCCTGTTTTTCTAGTTTAAAATTTTCTAGTTTAAAAGTTACCTAGTTTAAAGTTTTCATAAAAATAGGATTTAAATCCTATTCTATTTGGGATAGGTTCTTCCTATATATATAGGGGTTGATTTTATTATTTTGAGACAGACATGATTAATATTATTTGAGAGGTATCTCTTCTTTAATGTAATGTAATGTAAGAGGTACATTACAAAAAAAATGCTTAAATTGCGGGGTTTAAAATTACATGTTGCGGCGGTCAGTAACCCCACAATTTAGTGTTACGGCAGTTGAGAGAACCCCTACAATTAGGTGTGCCACAATTAAGTCCCGGGAGTTTTTGACCAACCCCTGTTATAACAGGGGTTTATTAGTGGGGGTTTGAACCCCAGAAATGTATATCAAAAACTGCAGTTCAAGTTCTAGGAGTCAAAACCCCAACAATTTGTGAACTTTGGAAGTCAAAACTCCCACAAATCATGAACTTTACATTAGGATTAACAGGAGTTTTAACCCCTGTAATTTATGAACATGTAACCTTTTAGAGCATTATGCTAGAAATTTTTTATTTTAAATATTATTGACTAATTAACATGTACATCATAGTCAAACCTAAAAGGGGCTTATTAGCATTAAGAAATAACAAAATATTTCAACACAAAAATATATTATAAAGTGTACTATTAGTTTTACAAACTAAATTGAAACATATTATTCACGATTACAAGAAACTTCAAATCACTACAAAAATTGTCATTCGCTAATCTTGATTTTATTGATAAACAGGGTTCACTAGCATCCATACTCAAGAAAAGGCCTGCAACTATTCAGAAGTCTGAAGGCATCACATATAAAACTAGAGAATTTGAAAATAGAGGCATCAAGTTATATCTACCAAGGAACATCATAAGAGTGACACATACCATTACATATCGTGGTTTATGCTCAGGTAGTGCAGCAGTACACTGAGTCACGACACGCTAAAAGGAGTCTATATCTTCACCGCCTGCAAGACCACCAATAGCATAGCTGTCACACAAGTAAATTCAGTCATTTCACTCTGTTGATTGTTGAACCTCAATTCTTCTAGTTTGGTTTGTCAGGTAAGCTGCTTTTGAGTTGTTTTATATATAGACTCTACAAGAAATTCCCTACAAGTTGAGAGTCAAATGTTGTCACTTTGAACTCTATATGACATCTTGTACACCAACTATGTCGCTGTATTTATTATGTATAACATCTACTTACGATTATAAAACACACACAAAAAAAAAAAAAATGGCTATGGACAAGTGATGCATCACTGTAATGATCAATATTTATACAAGGAAGGAAATTTAAAATCTCTTATCATAAGTCAGGAGAAAGATCCATTAGAAAAAGGAAAAAGGAATTGAATGTTGTTACTGCTTATCATTAGTATGCTAATGCAACTTATCTCACTCTGTTAAGAAAAGAAGGCACTGACCTGTCCTTTATATACCTTTCCTATGTGAAATAGCCGAGAAAAAGCTCCTCGGCAAGATTATTTTGCTTGACAAGCCTCTGTTGTTCTGCGGAAAATAGTAGCTTGTGGCTGTCCAGACTACTTCCCCTGCATAACCAAAACAAACCTACTATTTTTAGTATTTTGCACATCCAGGTACTATATATCACAAAACAAAGAGGAAGATGGGGAAGAAATAAACAGATTGGAGGAACAAGAATATGTTCACATTGCTTTATCTCATTAGTCTTGGCACGCTGAAGACATAAGTAAGTAATTAATAGCATATTTTCTCTAACAACTTAAGCTTTTAGCTAATATACAAATAAGTCTAAAGTCATGTCATTGAAATAAGAGTATGTACTTACAAGAGAGGTATTGATCATACGCTTCAGTCTTCATAGAAACAACTGTGACTTTGGCTTCTTGAAACAATTAAGCTTACAGAGATGCTTATATACTCCATCAATTGGTTTCTTCAAGCATTGTAATTTTCACAAACCACTATGAGCATCTCTGTTAGCTTCTTGTTTTCACTGGTCACTTGTCTAACAAATCCCCTGCCTCATCTTTCACCCTCATATTGTCTCTATTTAATCCAGTGAAATCACTCTAAATTTTTTGTTTCTGAAAGCTGCAGCTGAATAAGGTGCATAAGCAGAAGTCTTTAAAGCATTTATTTAAGGAGAATAAAGTTGGCTTAATTGCCATAGTAGAACATAGAACTAATATTAAGTATGCAACTTCTATAATAACAAAGGTCACTACTAGGTGCTCTTGGTGTCATAACTACCAAGCTACTGGCCGTGGTAGAATCTGGGTGTTGTGGGATCCTACTCAATGTGATTTTTGCACAAGTGATCAGTGCATACGTGGAGTGGAGTTTATGGTTTACATATTTGCAAGATAGGAAGAGTCTTCGGCTGGAGTTAAGAGTGTTGGCTAATACATGTCGCGCAGCTTGGTTAATAATGTGAGACTTCAATGCTGTCACCTAACATTGAAGACAGAGAAGGAAGCAAACCGGTGCAGGAAACTTAAAGAGACGCTTGCAGCATGTAAAAAAGATTTACTGAGTTAACTTACTCGGGGGATATCCGGTGGGGACCCAGCGCTTCCATAGGCATATTCTGGCTTGCAGGTAATCACAACTACTTCCCCAACCTGGAAGATCAAATAAAAAAAGTTGAGCACCAACATTAACTCGATGTACAACCACCGCAAGTTAAAGTGCATATCGACCTTCATCGTCCTCAATGCAACATCCCAAGCCTGCAAAACGCAGGTGGGCCTGCGCCTAAGGCTAAAAGATGTCATAGCCTTGTAAGGCGTATGGGTTTCTGCGCCTTGCAGCGGAAACTCTGATTTAAAAGCCGTTAAGATTAGTTACCCTTTTGGTTTGATAAATAATTTAGTTGTCCTTTTGTAATTTTTGAAAAAAATTGTTGCCCTTTTGGCTCCGGACTCGTTATTTGATTATCAAGAAGAAATCATTTAATAAATGTAACGAGATCATTGATCTTAACCACGGTAAGTTCACTAGTTATATATCCAAATACTTTTATTCTAGCAGGTTATTGGTTTTATTACATTAATCTTGTGATCTTATTTCAAGCAATCTATCGTACAAATTAAAAAGAATTGTTTTTGGTTGATCTCCTCTTTTGTAGAAATGATGATTTCACAATATAATTATAATCAGTTCATTTTAGTAGACCAACAAGACAAGAAAGATATTATATCAATCTTTATTAATTAAATAGGATGTCTCCCAAGCGCCGAGGGGCTAACACACATACATACATACATACATAAAGATAGTTTGAATATCGACTAACTGGCTTATTAATCTCATAGCCAAACATTGGTTTGTGATGAATGAAGAAAATAGGAAGCAACAAGCAAAGCAACGCAAAACAAGAAATTTTAGTAGTTTCATTTTCTCCAACTATGGGAGTGGAGGACAAAATGTCAAGGTGTTTCTCGAATTCAGTCATGTTTTTCTCCTTCAAACAAACCGCTACTTGTATTCCATTACCATCTTTTGTGTCCATCAGAAAAGCTCCTTCAATAGCATTGAAGCCAACGGGGCTCACCCAAAATGGTTTTCCCCAACCAAAGTCAGCTTCATACCAAGGCAATTTGCACCAACTAGTGGTGATATAATTGTCCATCTTGTCTCCTTGGACAAGTTTTTCTACAGCTTTTTTTTGATTGTTAACATTTAAAGAGGAAATATCATCAACGCTTTCCGCCTTACCAATGGCTGCACATGTGTCCCGTATTGTATTTCCTACCAACTTTACAAAATCATTCAACTCATCCTTTCTTGCCTCATCGGCCTCCATATTAGCAATTCCTATCATTCCATAATTCCCTAGAGCATGTTCTGAAGACGGTACACATGACAGTTTTCCCCTCAAATTAATAGAAAATCCTAAAGACGAGTCCCTTAAATTTCCATTTTTGGCGGAAGAAATGTGTGTAAGAACCTTCCATATTACGGACATCACGACCACCACTCTAGAAGGCTGCTTGATCATGTCGTCATCATCAGTAGTTGAATCGTCTTTGATTGTTTTTCTGAGGTTTTCTATTGTCAAAGCATCAAAGACAAACCTCCTTGTGACAATCTCAGGGTCAGTAGTACTAGTGTTGGGAGGTGATGGCAACTGTAGCAGTACTCTTGCTGGAAAGAGCGATGACAATTGACCAAAACTGGGGAGATAATTATTATTAGTAGTATCTTGTGTACTGATGGTCCCTGTTATAAGGCAAGTGGTCGCCCATTCCTTTACAAATGTTGCTATAGTGAAAGCATCAGCTATGATGTGAGAAACGTTTATCCCTATAGCTATTCCTCCATTATTAAATACATTGACTTGGACACCAAGTAATGGAGTTGATGGCATATGAACCATTACAGGAAGAAGATGAAGCAAAGACGACTCAATATCATTGGCTTGACGATGGAGAAATTCAGGAAGATCGTCTGCATTGACTTTGGTTTGAACATACTCAACACCTTCATCATTGCAATCGATTGAGAATGGATCATCTTTTCCAAATCTTCCAGCAAAAGGGTAAAACTTGGTTAGCGTCTCCGCCAATGATTTTTCAAGCTTATCATATGATGAAGTGCTGCTCGGCAAGTAGTTGAAGAGGATTGGTACATATGAACGAGGAGCCAGCTGATCGAACAAGGAAAGCTTCAATATCCGAAGATTATCCGAGGTAGAAGCTGAGGGTTTCAACATTTTCCTTGACTTAATTTCAATATCGTCTAACATTTTATTTGGTGGATGGATGACTTAATAAACAAAAGAGAAAGTAATTTGAGTATTACTTTTGCTTCTTTTCTTAATATATAGCTTCTCTCTTTCTTTTGCTACTAGTCTATATGTATATAATGCCTGGCTATTATATGTATATAGTTTCAACTCTACAGACTGCCCAACATGTTTATGCAACTTTTTAAGCCTTAGTTTTTTTAATAAAGAAATAAATTAATAAACATGGCATGAAAATTGGATTAAACAATTTAGGGGATTCAATTATATCATCATGTGTTCCACTTTCTTCATCGTATCAAATACGATTGCATTCTTTAACTCTAAAAATCTGACACAATATTATACTCTTTTGATTATGCACAATCACACTCTTCATATTCTGCAACACATCTCATATCCTGCTTCTAATTAATATAATTCTCTATATCTAAATTAAATTTATCTATCAAAATAATATTTCTAACTCTTTTGTTTCATGATTTATCAATAATTATTGAAAATGACGAGAAAAGAACATTTATACTCCAAAAAAGTAAAATATTTACTCTTAAATGCCTCATTATATGAATATAATCTGATGGTATCAAAGAATAACTGAACAATGTTTTCATTAAAGGATTGTTTCTTTCTCCTTGATACCATCAAAATATAATATACACTGGTGATTTCAATGAGTAATTGAACAATGTTTTCATTGAGATTTGCTTCAGTCTTTCGATAGATTACTTAATCATCCATAATACCATTTCGGTATATCTACATGGTGTCATGGTATATCATTGAGGTATATTTCAATTCTTCAATATTTTGATTTAAAAATAGTTTTAAAAAGAGTCATAATTTAGATACAATTTTTTAAAAATTTGCAAAAAGAGAAAAAGAAATATAAAATATATTTTCTACTAATTTAGAGTTTAAATAAGAATGTGACTTTTATAATTTTATCTTAACTGTTTCTTGTTTATTTCTTAAAAAAAGAGCTCAACTTAAATGGATAGAGTTAGCTTTATTTTTATTATTTTTGGCGTAGGGTGATATTTGGTGTAAATCTAAAATAATCAATTATTTGAATGGATACAAAAAGTTTTACTTTTATTATTTTGACTTTTCTTTTAAGTGCAAGATTTGCAATAGATCTCAACCAGGGGCGGATTTACGTAATCCGAACCCCGTTCGTCGAAAAATTACACTATATATATTAGATTAAATTTTTAATATACGTGTATATATATAGTACTGAACCCCCTGAACATACACCAAAGGCGTAGCTCAGTGGCGTTGGGGGTTCAGGAATTCACTTTACTGCACGCGAGGTCGCGTGTTCGAATCCGGGCAGAAGCATTTCTTTTATCAGCTTATATTTTAGGCGTTTTAATTTATTTAAAAATATAATAATGCAATCAGAAAATGATGTTTAGTTCCAAAAAATTAAAACGCTGATTGGGAATTTAGGATTTATTAGTTTAATCCCTAATTATAAAGTCAAATATTAAAAAACTCTTTGCTTCTTGATTCAACAGTTTAATCCAACCCGTTTATATCCGATTCGACCCGTTTAATTTATTTGTGAATATTATTTATGTGATTAATTTATTTTTTTGAACCCCCTTGATGAAAATCCTCCCTCCGCCACTAATCTCAACTATATATTATTTTTTATGATCTCATCGATCATGATTATTTATCAAGTAGTACTCCATAAACATGGAAATGGAAATTTGATTAAACAATTTAGGGGATTCAATTATCATGTCTTGCACTTTCTTGATCCTATCAAATACGATTGTATTGTATTACCCTAAAAATCTGACACAATATTCTCTTTTGATTATGCAAAATCACATTCACACTCTTCATAATCTGCAACATATCCGGCTTCAAATTAATTTAATACTTTTATATGTAAATTAAATAATCTTCAATTTATCATTTGTACATAAGAAAAACACAACATACTGTTTCTAACTCTCTGTTTCATGATTTTATCCATAATTATTGAAAAAATTTTTTCGAATAAACGATTGGATTAAAATGATGTGACCAGAAAAAAACACTTATACTCCGAAAAAAAAGTAAAATATTTAACCTTAAATGTCTCATTACTTTCATATTCTCTTTTTATTTTAAAACGACAAGGCCTACCCTTCCCTTTTTTTCCTCTCTGATAATATCACAGTATATGAATATACTCTGATGGTAGAGTAACTCGACAATGTTTTCATTGAAGGAATGTTTCTTCCTTCTTGATACCATCAAAGTATAATATACACGAGTGGTTTCAATGAGTAATTTTTTCATCATATTAATATGCAAGATATTGCAATATATAATACTTTTCGTATAGTTTTTGAATATCTATTTTTTTTGTTTAAAATATCGAAGTAATGCGTTCTAATTTTACTTTAAAAATGAATCAAGTTGACTTGTAGACATTGCAATTTTGTGCATGGAACTCTACAAGATGCGTTCAATTCGAATTGAGACCGTACAAATTGTGTTCAACTCAAATTAGAATTTTTGGAGGTTACTCAACCCTAAACCCTAGTTCACACCTATATAAAGGGTACAAAATTCCCTTAAAAGACATCTCAAAATATCCCATAGACTCTTGAGATATTTTTAAAGATCAAAATCTCGAACATGATTCCAATTCATATGCCTGGCAGGCCATTAGTTTCAACTCTACAGACTGCCCAACATGTTTATGCAATTATGCAACTTTTTAAGCCTTAGTTTATTTATTTAATAAACATGGCGTGGAAATTGGATTAAACAATTAATTAGGGGATTCAATTATCATGTGTAAGACTTTCTTCATCGTATCAAATACGATTGTATTCTTTAATTCTAAAATCTGACACAATATTCTCCTTTGAATATGCACAATCACACTCTTCATATTCTGTAACATATTTTCAGGATCGACTCAACTAGATTGGGAATAAAGTCAAATTTTAAAGAAGGTCCTAGTATTTTTTTTTAATCCACATTTTATAAAATGTGGATTCTTTGAATTTTTAATCCACATTTTATAAAAATTGCTCTCCTAGTTCAATGATTGACAACTTTGATCCGCCCACGTACATGCACTTTCTCAAGGGTTTTTCTTCTCTCTTATTTTTTTTTGAGTGGTATAGTGATCACGGGATAAGTTATCTCGGGATAAAATAGATAAATGCTAAATATACCCTTTAAACCTTTTTTATACATCATTTTTCACATTTATGCATATTTACATTATTTTTAATATCATGTGTAATAATATTCACTACTTCTTATTTTTATGATAATTGTTCATATTTTTCTAAAATTACACTATATAAATATAATTTTTATTCATGAATTTATTTGACTTATTCTTATGTTTATTTATATTTTGATTTCTCATAAATCTTCTTTCACTTTAATAAACTTAAGAGGGAAGTTCTATTTTTAAGCTACACAAGAAAAAAATATTTTTAAATACATATGAAACTTATCATGAAATGCATAAACAAAAATATTTAAGCTAAATAAAATAAAAGTTCTATTTTTAAAAATGAACCACCACTCTAGTAGGCCGCTAGCTACTGCTGGTAGTTGAATCTTCGATTGTATTTTTGAGGTTTGCTATTGCCAAAGCATCAAAGACAAACCTCTTTGTAAAAATCTTAGGGCGAGTAGTACTGTTGGGAGGTGGTGGCGAATATTGAGGTCCTGATAGCACTCATGTGGGGAAGAGTGATGACAAGAGACCGAAACTAATTTGGAGACAGTCTTTTGTGGTCCCTGTAAGGCTAGTGTACACCCATTCATTGACAAATGTTGCTAAAGTGAAAGCATCAGCTACGATGTGTGAAACTTGTATGCCCATGATTAGTCCACCACAATTGAACACCAAGTAATGGACTTGATGGTCGATGATCCATTTTAGGAAGGAGATCCACCAAAGGTTCATGGAGAAATTTAGAAAGATCCGCGTTGACTTTGGTTTCAACATACTCAACACCCTGATCATTGCAATGAATTGAGAGTTGATGATCATTTTCTCTAAATCTTCCAGGCAGAGGATAAAACTTAGTTAGCGTGTGGGCCAAAGATTGTTGAAGCTTATTACATGTATTGATGGGCAAGTAGTTGAAGAGTATTGACACATATACACGATGAGCAAGCTGATCGAACAAGGAAAGGTTGAGGGTCCGAAGATGATTCGAGGTAGGAGCTGAGGGCTTCAACATTTTCCTTTTGAATTTCAATCCCTAACTTGGCCATATATCACAATTGATGAATGAAGTTATATATATATATTTATGTATTTCTAGCCTAATTTTGAATGTGTAACATACAATTTAACTATATTTCACGGAGATTTTTATGTATTATTTCTAACTATAGGGATATAATGCCAATACCTACCCCGCCCCCTCTAACTCACTAGGCAACCGAACCCCTAATCAATAAAGTCAAACTTTGCAAAAAATACCGCAACAATATGTAGCCTGCATTAATAATTGAGATCTCTTAATAATTTCTCTTCAATCGAAACCTAGGTTTTTTTTATTACCCAACTAATCAGATAAATTTGTAATTTCGTTGTTTTATTTTCCTTGATCCTATATCAAAAATAGAATTGTATTACCTTTCTTTTAATATTATCCTTAGTAGGGGTGTTCATGGTTTGGATAAAAACCGATCCAAACCGAAAAATCAAACCAAATCAATTAAATGAATCGATTTAATTTGGGTTTTATAAAAAGGCACATAATTAAAAGCCATAAAAAGATAAAACCGAATAGGAGAGAGAAAATCGGAAAAAAATACATTTAAATAAAAATTAATAATTATTTTGTTATCTATATAATTTAAAAACTCTTTATGTAATTATATATAAATATATTGATTTTAAGTTAATTAAAGTCTTAAAGTGTATATTTTTGTAATTTTTCCAAAAATTAACTAAAGCTAGCATTATCCAAATATATTCCATCTGGAGGTCGGCTTTGTTCCGTCTTATTAATTTCAAACAATTTATTACTCCTTCCCTTCACTTTTACTTGTCACTTATTTCTATAATAGATTTTCATTTTTACTTATCACTTTTAATCTATCAAGAAAAGGCAATAATTTTTTTTTCATGTTTTACCCTCAGAATAAAATATTTATTTAAAGTCATCATTTAACAGGAGATAATTTGATAAAATACTTACATCAATAATTATTTTCTTAATTGGTGTGTCAAATCAAAATGTGACAAGTAAAAGTGAATAGACGGAAACACTGAAGTATAAAAGAAGGTACGTAATTACTATTCTTTTATTATGAAAAAAAAAGGGAAGGGACAAGCAATACAAATTAAAGCAAGAAATATTACTACATAGTTTCATTTTATCCAAAGGAATGGAATGCTAGTTTTGAAGTGGATGACAAAATGTTGGGGTCTCTCTCGAATTGAGCCATGTCATTCTCCTTTAAAGAAACCCATGCTTCTATTCCATCACCATCTTTTGTGTCCATCAGACTAATTCCTTCAAAAGCATCGCACTCAACGAGGCTCACCCAGAATGGCTTTCCCCAACCAAAGTCGGCTTCATACCAACAAAATCTGCACCAACTAGTGCTCGGATAAACGTCAATCTCGTCTCCTTGGGCAAATTTCTCTATAACTTTTCTATGATTGTTAACAACTAAAGAGGAAATGTCATCAACGCTTTCCGCCTTACCAATGGCTACACATGTGTCCCGTATTGTATTTCCTACCAACTTTACAAAATCATTTAACTCATCCTTTCTTGCCTCCATATTAGCAATTCCAATCATTGTACAATTCCCTAAAGCATCATTATCTAACGATGGTAAATTCGATTTTCCCCTCAAATTAATAAGAAATAATAAAGACGAGTTCCTTGAATGTCCATTTTTGGCAGTGGAAATGCCCACAAGAACCTTCCATATTAACGACATAATGAGCACCACTCGAGTAGGCCTAATGTCAGTTGAATCTTCAATTGTATTTTTGAGGTTTGCTATTGCTAAAGCATCAAAGATAAACCTCCTCGTGACAATCTTAGGGCGAGTAGTATTAATAATGTATGATGGAAACTGAGTCGTTCCTGATAGCACTCTGGTGGGAAAGAGCGATGACAAGTTACCGAAACTTGGGAGAGAGCCAGCTTTTAGTGTTCCTGTAAGGCTAGTGTGCGCCGATTCCTTGACAAATGTTGCTAAAGTGAAAGCATCAGCTATTTTATGTGAAATGTGTGTCCCTATGACTAGTCCTCCACAATTGAATAAGTTAACTTGGATTCCAAGTAATGGACTTGATGGCCGATGATCCATTTCAGGAAGAAGATCAATCTTGGGTGCATGTTCAGTACGGAGAAACTCAGCAAGATCCATATTGACTTTGGATTCAATATACTCAACACCTTCGTCATTGCAGTGAATTGAGAGTTCATCATCATCTTCACTAAATCTACCTGCTAGAGGGTAAAACTTGGTTAGCGTCTCTGCCAAAGATTTTTGAAGCTTATCACATGATATTTTAACGCTGGGCAAGTAGTAGAAGAGTACTGGGACATATACAGGAAAAGCGAGCTGATCGAAAAATGAAAGTTTGAGGGTCCGAAGATGATTGGGGGTAGGAGTTGAGGGCTTCAACATTTTCCTTATCATCTCTAAATTGGCCATTACATTAGGATTGACAATTGACAAACAACAAAAGTAGCAAAATAATAGTAGTAATGAAGTTGTTTCTGAATAAACCATTTATTCATCTCTATCTGCTGGCCTATTCTATATTCATATATAATGTGTCAGTTGACACGGCACGGCACGCCAGTAACTGGTTTAATTTTTGTCAGTTTTATCCAATTATGTGTTCTTTCCCAATACCTCAAAAACCCCCAAAATTTAATTTCTCTTATTAATGCAAGTATGTGTTCTTTCCCAATACCTCAAAGTACTCACATATATCTTTCCCTAATTACTTGTCCATTTTTATCCTTTTAGTTGTCCCTAATTACTTATCAATTTTGACAAATTAAGAAATGATAATTTTTTTACCTATTATATCCTCAATTAATTATTTTTAAATAGGCAAAACATTTTGAAAATCTTAAGTTTTTAATTCATCTACTTCATAATTAATATGAATAAAATGATAACTCACTATGTCAACAATTGTTTTCTTAATAGGTGTGTCAACAATTCAAAAGTGGACAAGTAATTTTCTACTATTGACTTTAACATTTTTAATAAACTATAAATAGAAGGATAATTTACTAATTTTACTATATGACCCTTTGAATATAATAAATATTATGTCTTTAAAAATGTAATAGAGAAATGATTATAATTAATGATAAGAGTAAATTATGAACTAAGTGAAAATTTTTCTACTAATTTCATAAAGTGAACAAGTATTGTTACACTTTCCAAAATAGTATAGTGGATAAGTATTGTTGGACGGAAAAAGTATTTCCCATTAACATATTCAATACTTCCTTCGTTTCATATTAAGTAAATTTGTGAAACAATTCACACAACAAAAGTTAAGAACATCATTTTCTATTTTTATCTTTTTAAATATTGTGCTAATTACTTTCCCGTTGATCTATACTTATTCACTATACTAAAAATAGTTGTCCAACAATACTTGTAAAAAAAAATTTCAAATATATATTTCATGATGTTCTAAGAATATGTGTACTTTAAGTTTTTATGATTAATTAAATCAAAAAATTATTAATTTGAGAGTCAAGTATGTGTTCTTTCCCAATACCTCAAAAACCCAAAATTTAATTTCTCTTATTAATGCAAGTATGTGTTCTTTCCCAATACCTCAAAGTACTCACATATATCTTTCCCTAATTACTTGTCCATTTTTACCTTTTTAGTTGTCCCTAGTTATTGTCAATTTTGACAAATTAAGAAAGGGCAATTTTGTTTACCTATTATACCCTCAATTAATTATTTTATAAAAGGCAAAACTTTTTGAAAATCTTAAATTTTTAATTCATCTACTTCATAATTAATATGAGTAAAATGATAACTCACTATGTCAACAATTGTTTTCTTAATAGGTGTGTCAACAATTCAAAAGTGGACAAGTAATTGTCTACTATTGACTTTAACATTTTTAATAAACTATAAATAGAAGGATAATTTACTAATTTTACTATATGACCCTTTGAATATAATAAATATTATGTCTTGAAAAATGTAATAGAGAAATGACTATAATTAATGATAAGAGTAAATTATGAACTAAATGAAAAATTATCTACTAATTTCATAAAGTGAACAAGTATTGTTACACTTTCCAAAATAGTATAGTGGACAAATATTGTTGGACGGAAAAAGTATTTCCCATTAACATATTCAATACTTCCTTCGTTTCATATTAAGTGAATTTGTGATACAATTCACACAACAAAAGTTAAGAACATCATTTTCTATTTTTATCTTTTTAAATATTGTGCTAATTACTTTCCCGTTGATCTATACTTGTCCACTATACTAAAAATAGTTGTTCAACAATATTTATAAATTTTTTTCAAATATATATTTCATGATGTTCTAAGAAAATGTGTACTTTAAGTTTTTTATGATTAATTAAATCAAAAAATTATTAATTTGAGAGTCAATAGAATTCATTGTATCTTTTAAATATTTAATTTGTTAATTATCGTGATCTATAATTTTATTTTATTTTTATATATTTTCAAATATATAAAAGACTAAAAAAAAAGATAACTCTTTTAATATTGTACGAACGATCTCTTCATGAGGAGTATGAATTTTTTTTTTGCAAAATTTAAAATAATAGGTTTTTGTTTTTACACAAAATATGAACTTATGAGTTAAATTTTATATTTTAAATCATGTTTTTTGAAAAATTTGCAATATAAAATCATTATTTTAATTGCTTATACAAATGTTGATCATGATATGAAAGTAGGCTTAACCTCTTCAGAATATTAAATGTTTTCCATAGTATATATATATAATAACATTGTTCTGAATTGTGTCTAAAAATGAAGAATATATAAGGCTTCTTGTATGATATTTGAGGCACTAATAAATAAATTAAAAATATGTACATTTACTACTACTATTTTATTGCCTCATTTGGATTCTTCCACTTTTTCAATAAAAGGTTCAACCATTTTCTCCAAGTCCTTCAAGTCTTGCTCCACACCTTCAACCTGTTAACCCATTATATTTCATATTAGAGAGACTAAACCAGCTGAAAATAATTAATTAGATGATATTTACGACACAGGATATTAGATATTAGATATAAAACAATTTGGTTTGCAAACCTTGTGAATGAAATTACAAGTAAATTGAGCATCTTTAGCAACCACAGCTGATGCATTTTCAATTGCTACAGCTGTTTCTTTGAGTAAACTATTTTCAGGCAGCTTAACGGCAATCACTGCCATTACATTTTCCGTTTTACTCGCCACCAAGGCTGCTACCTCCGCTGCTTCTTCCACCTCTTCCGCCACCTTCTCTACCTCTCCTGAATAAACATCAATTCCTTTTTATCATTTCAGTCTGTTATTGTAACGTTCATGTTATGTTAGACGTGTTGATATATATATATATATGTGATCATCTCATCTAAAAGCTTAAGTTATTCTCAACATTCACGACTATTCAATATTCATTTAAATTAGCAAAAACTCATACCTTCAATTCTTCGAATGTTGTCCAAATTTTGCTTCCAAAATGGGAGTATTATTGATAGTATGGATCCCAAAAGCCATTTTGCCCTGGTAATAGTACACTAGATCATCAAATTCAAATGATCAATCACAATAATTGGAAAAATAAAATAAAAATGACAATTTAATTATTAATTATTTGCATACCAAACAAATAAATTGGGCTTAGAAGGAGGTGGCTCTACTGGAAGAACCTTGCTTGCTTCATTTTTTCCCCTTACAGATGCAATCAAGAACTAAGATTCAATCTTTTTTATACAAGGTTATATTTTCTGCTTATCTAAACAAAAAATGAGTAGAGAAGAATTAGTTACCGATCCTTCTTATTGGGAATTCGATACTCTCCTGAACTGATAAACCGTAATCCTGGACTTGCTGAACCACAATAACTGATCCTAGTTGTTGGAACTATCCCATGGAGACCCTGTAACTGAGAGGATGTAGCATCAAAGCGAACTCTATAGTATTGGTGAAGCAAAGTAACAAAACTCCGGATTTTGTATGAAGATGAAGAATTTGCAGACATGGTTAATTAACCAACTAAAATAGAAGCGCAATTTTTGTAGGAGGAAAATCAGATACATAAGTTGGAATGAATTGCTGTTATTTGAACAGTTAAGAAGTTAGCGCTTAACATGTGAGAAAGAAGATCCTAACACGCCAAGAAATGCTTATTTTATGCTGACTTTAAACTAAAAGTAACTTTAAAAATTGGCTAACAAGTAACCTGTTCCTTGTAAGCTAAAACCATTATTGAACTCCTTATCTTGCTATTGTGCCAATCTTATCTTAAATAAAAATGTGATGAAGCTACACGTACATTCTTATGCAAAAATTTCAAATGCATTGCTCCTAAATTTTGTGAAAACAGTTAAAACTAATCAGGACAAGTAACTTTGTATCACAATAATCAGCAACATAAATTAAGATACCAACAATTTATTGAAGCATGTCCCCACTAGAATGAAAGATGGTACATTATTTCATATAAAAATACATCTATGGTGACGCTTGACTTGGAAAAATAGATGTTCAATTTGTCATGAGCCAGCTTAGATTGGGCGGGAAAAAGAGGAAAAAATAATGGCAGCTTCTGTGATTCAGTCTTAATAAGCCGTCCAATATACAAAAACTTCACAAAAGTCCAATAAGAAGAGACACATACATGAAAACAAAAATAGGAGAAAAAGAAAAAATCAAAAGGCATTCATCGTCGTGAATGAACTAGGGCTGTAAGATGCTCTATTTCCTCTTGCCTACAAAATTTGAAATAAGGCAGACCCCAGCAGTTATATGTACGTTTCTTCTCATCTGTCATTAAACAATTAACTGTAGCCATGTCCTTCCATATTGATCGAAAGCTGATCTCTGAATCTTTTGATAATTCCACCAGCAAAACTTGTAGCAGCTATTATTGTAACCCAGAGGTGTATCGTTCTATAGTTTGTCCGCTGCGATGTTTTAATACTTGCCCACGTATCTGTCTGCTTCCAGAATTCGAACCATCACCACCAAATTTCACACCTAAAGTTACTCTTCCGCATTCTCCAAATAAACACACTGTTTCCATCTTCTTGATCCTTCTAATTTCAGTCTTAGGCATTGCTGTCTACATATTCTGTGCCTACGCCATCCACAAATTCAGCAACTCAAGAACTTCTTCACAACCGGAGCAACAAGTAGTAGGAGGAGGAGAAGAAGAGTTAAGTGATATTCAAACAGTGGGTCTTCAGCAATCAGTCATCAGTGCCATCACAATCCGCAAGTACAAAAAAGGTGAAGGGCTAATTGAAGGAACAGAGTGCTCTGTTTGCTTGAGTGAGTTTCAAGAAGATGAAACTCTTAGGATTTTGCCAAAGTGTAACCATGCTTTTCACATACCTTGCATTGACACTTGGCTCGAATCACACATCAATTGTCCCATGTGCCGTGCCGACATTGTCATCACAATTCCCGCCACTTGCAGCTTTCATTGAGCAAAACGTGTGACCAGCTCATCTAACAGCTTAAATTGTTGAGAAACATATTTTTATTTACTTTTACAGCATGTCATGGCTCTTAGCTTATAGTCAAACGTAATTCTTTTCCATGAGCTAAATACTTGGTTTTTTATAATGGATAGCTATGCGATTCAAACTCAGGATCTTTGCCACTTTATAACATACCAATGAAATCTGTGACACTCTTATCCAAAAACTAAGTTATTAGACAAAGTACACTTTATTTTCTTAGTTATCTCTATGTTGCAGAAAATTAAGCGCTGAGACTTGGATGAGGAGATTCATGCAGAAAATTTCAGAAAATGCCACGGAATTAAGGATTGACATTCGAAATGAAGACGAGTCAGGAGATCTAAGTACTTTGGGTATCAGTGTAAGTTCAACGGAAGATGTGGTGAATGCTCCTGAAGTCTGAAGGAGAGTTAAATAAGGTACATGATGGAAGATGTGCTTAAACAGCGGAAGCAAAAATCCATAAACTTTGCATGTGAGATAGACAAGATACATATCAAATTTTATTCAAACATAAATCAAGGAATACCTCTTGAAGTGTGTGATAATCCCATGAACATCTTTGATCCACAATCTTCAGTTGTGTGATCCCAGTAACAACAGGACTTAAGACTCGTGTGAGAAAGTCAGCATCTCAGAGAACTGACGTTTGTTCAAAACAAGCTAGTACACTCTGGAATGAAAGATAATACAATATTTCATTGAAAATACATCTAAGGTGATGCTGGAACTTGGAAAAGACAAGAGCTTTAAACTATCAATGCATATGAGTAGTTAATTTCTTGGAACAATGAATGTCCAACTTGCCATGAGCCAGCTTAGATTGGGCGGAACAAGGAGGAAAATAATGGCAGCTTCTGTAAATCTGTCTTAATCAGTAGTCTAATATACAGAATTCACAAAAGTCCAATAAGAAGAACCACAGAAATGAAAAAACAAAAGGCATTCATTGATAATTCTACCACCACTACCACAAAATTTCACAACTGAAGTTCCTCTTTCGCAGTCACCACAAAAAAATACTGCCTCCATCTTCTTGATAATTCTATTTACAGGCTTAGGCATTGCTGTCTACATATTTTGTTCCCTCGTCATTCCCAAAAACTCAAGAGCTTCTTCACAGCCGGAGCAGCAAGTAGTAGTAGAAGAAGAAGAAGAAGAATTAAGTGATATTCGAACAGTGAGTCTTCATCCATCAGTCATCAGCACCATCACAATCCGCAAGTATAAAAGAGGTGAAGGGCTAATTGAAGGAACAGAGTGCTCTGTTTGCTTGAGTGAGTTTCGAGAAGATGAAACTTTTAAGATTTTGCCCAAGTGTAACCATGCTTTTCACGTACCTTGCATTGACACTTGGCTCAAATCACACACCAATTGTCCTATTTGTCGTGCCAGCATTGTCATCACAATACCCACTACTACAGCTTTCAGTTGAGTTAAACGAGTGATCATCTGATCTAAAAGTTTAAATTGTTGAAAACACACACTTTTATTTACTTTATAACTATATGACTGTATTAGAAAGTATATACGTACTTTTATATACTTAATTATGACATCAACACACCTCTTAGCTTATACTTGGACTTAATTTTTTTCCATGAGCTAAATACTTGGTTGTTGTATTTATAATGGACAACAATGAGATTCAAATTCAAGATCTTTGTGTGCTATTAGAATATACTAGTAACTGTGACTATCTTATCTAAAAAGACGTTATTAGAAAAAGTACACTTTTATTTTCTTAGTTATCTCTACATTGCAGAAACTAGCCCCGAGACTTGAAGAGGAAACTCGTTCAGGAATTTTCAGAAAATGCCATGGAATTAAGGCTTGATAGTCGAAATGAAGGTGAGTCAAGGGATCTAAGTACTTTGAGCATCATTGTAAGTTCAAAAATCAAAGGGAGATGTGGCTAATGCTCGTGAAGATAGTTAAATAAGGTTCATGATGGAAGATATGCATAAACAGCGGAAGCAAAAATCCAGAATCATTGCATTTAAGATAGACAACATACATGTCACATTTTATTCAAAAGTAAATAGAGTAATACCTCTTGAAGCGTGTGATATATAATCCCATGAACATGTTTGATCCGCTATCTTGTGTTGTCTGATCTCACTAATAACCGGACTTAAGACACGTATGAGCAAGTCAGCTTCTCAGAAAACTGAAGTTACACATTTCTCTTTTTCTTTTCTTGTGAATGGTTTAGCCAACCCCAGAGTTAGAAATACAGTGATATTTAATAAAAAGTCTATTATTATTACTTCAATCCACACCCTGTTTTTCTAGGTTAAGAGGAAGGGCAATCTCTCTTGGCAAAGTATTATCTTAATTAGCAAGCACGGATCCCCCCAACCCAATGAAGAATTTACAAGCCCCTTTCTGATGACCTACTCTCTCCTACTATGTACAAACTTGTAACCAATGCATAGCAACAAGTAAATCCTACACATTCAAAGATGTAAGTAGGAATGTAATCAATTAATTAACAACGGCCAATACCTCCATTCATTTTTCACGCTACACACTTCATTGGTTTTCTCTTGTGAGTTGTGACGCTCAATTCTAGAGGAGAGCATGATTCACCGTCACTTTTTTCAATTTACCAGAAAATAATACCCTAATTTTGCCCCCAAAAGTAAATAGTGATCTTTTTTCTTCTTCTTTTTTCTCTTAAACAATAGTGATCCACAAGACTGAAATTAGACCTATGATTACTTTTACTTCTTAGTTATTCTAAAAATAAATTTTTCATTTTTTTAATATATTAAAAAGAAATCATGTTATAATACCCTTATTAATAAATGAACAACTTTCACATATAACAAACATAAAAATTATATTTATATGTTATAGCTTTAGTTTGCATAATTTCTAAACTTTGTTATGGAGCTTTTGATTTATATAATTTGCTACAAACATCCAATTTTAAACAAATTGTTCAGTTTTGTATAAATTCATTTATACATTGTAATTTGTATAATAAGATTTGTATTTGTATATATATATATATATATATATATATATATATATATATATATATATATTTGTATTTGTATATACATTTTTCTCTCGCTTTATACAAACAAAAATGCATTTTATACTGAAATGTATAAAATGGCTAATTGTATATCGAATCAGATGGCAAAAATAAGAGATGTTTGCTACGAATTACAATTAAAATAAATTATGGCTATAACATTTAATTTGAATTAATAGTTTGCTATTTCATACAATTTTCCCATAATAAATTGTTAATCTTCAAATTAATTATCCAAAATTCAACAATGATATATCCACTATAATCCTACTACGTGGAGTTTGAAGAGGATAGACTATACTCAAATTCTACTATTATCTTGTGGAGGTAGTAAAGTTATTTTCGAAAGGTTCTCTGCTCAAAGGCATTAAACATTAATTAATATAAATATCATAGTAAAATATTTATTTAAATCATTATTTGTGAGGGCGTGTAAAATTTAAAGTAGACAAATAAAAAAAAAATTACACATTTATACTTATGTCTGTCGATCATTATTAGGAGCACATTTGACCATGAAAATTAATCTTTTTATTTTAAGATTAGCTATTCAATTTATTTCAAAATTAGCGTTTTGGTTAGAAAATTTTAAATTTAACTTAGAATTGGATTGCAAATTTTTAACATTTTTATAAAAGTTCAGTAAATTTCTATATTAAAATAATTTTACAATGAGTAAAATTCAATAACACCATGGAAAAATTTCAGTAAATTAACTCCATATATTATGCTGTAAAATTGACTATTTCATTTTCCATAACGTCTTTAATTAGAGCAGGTAATAAATGTCCAATTTGCCAAAAACCTGTCGAGGTTTGGTGGGACAAGCAGGAAAAAAATGGCAGCCGCCTAGTATTACTAGCCTTCCTAAAAGTCAAATAACATCAAACAAAGAAGACAAATGTCTTTCATCCATGTTACAGTTTCGTTAGAAACTAGGCTGCAAAAAAAAATCATCCTATGATGCTCTGTTTTCTTCACAGAAACAATTAGTAGCAGCCATGGTATTCCATGATCGAAAGCTGATCTTTGAATCACTTGATAATTCTACTGGTAAAAATTGTAGCAGTTATTATTGTAACCCAAAAGAGAATCTTTCTCGAATTTGTCCAATTTCATGTATGTATATTTGTTACCCAATTTGTAGTTTTCCCCTGTTTTCTGAAATCGAACCGCCATTGCCACCAAACTTTTTCACCCCCAAAGTTCCTATTTCTCAATCTCCACATAAACCCATTATTTCCATCTTCTTGATTATTCTGTTTTCTGTGTTGGCTACTTCTTTCTTCCTTTTTTGTTGCTTCGTGGGTTACAGAATCCGGAATGCAATAATTTTGTCAAGACCGCAGCAACGAGTTGAAGAAGAAGAAGAAGAAGAGGAGGAGTTTAGTGATATTGTTGATGAAGATATTCATGGACCTATGGTGGATCATCCTATATGGTATATTAGAACAGTGGGTCTTCAGCCATCAATCATCAGCGCCATCACGATTTGCAAGTATAAAACAGGGGAAGGAATCATTGAAGGAACAGAGTGCTCTGTTTGCTTGAGTGAGTTTGAAGAAGATGAAACTCTTAGGATTTTGCCAAAGTGTAACCATGCTTTTCACATACCTTGTATTGACACTTGGCTTAGAGCACACACCAATTGTCCCATGTGCCGTGCCGGCATTGTCATCGCCCCAGCTGCCACTCCATCCTTGCCTGAACAGGTATTCTTGAAGCGTGTTATCATTTCATTTAGAAGTTGTAGAAAAAATATACTTTTATTTAATTGTGTGTTCAATTTGGTATAGTGAGTGAATGTAATAGTGGGGTGGGTGTAGCTTAGTTGGAGAGTAGCTTAAACAGCATTTAAACATTCTTTTTACAGAGCATGTAAACAATTCTTTTTAATAATAGTTGTGGTGATACTCGAATCAAAATTGTTGTTTGCTCTGATATCATGTTTTAAGTGTGCGATTATCTTATTTGAACGTTTAAACGATTAGAAAGAGTACACTTTTCTTTACTAATTATGTCAGTATTGCAGAATTCAGGGCTGAGACATGAAGAAGAAGCTCATGAGGGAATTTCAGAGAATGCCACGGAATTAACTCTTGAAATTGAAAACGAAGGCGAGTCATTAGAACTAAGTAGTATGGATATCAGTGGAAATTCCAAGGAAGATGTGGGGAATGGTACTAATGAAGGAGTGTTAAGTGAATTTAGTGCGTCAAGAAGATCAACATCATTCGAATCTTTATCTACTGCTTCAGTATCACAGAGTACTTTGGATGGTAATGAGATGTCAGCAAGAATGAAAAACCTTTGTTTGGACAGAGTAATGCAAGAACAGCACATGATAAGAAGAAGCCAGAGTGCTGTTCTTCTTCGGTGAAGGGACGAACAATTGTTGTTGAAGCTTGGCTACAGTAAAGCGCTTACCAAATTAATTCCATCTCTTTCTTTTCGCCTTTTCTTAGATAATCTTTAAAGTGATATCAGACATAATGAAAATTCCAAATGTCGATGAGAGTTTTCTCTTTCCCTTTCCCTTTCCCCACTCTCCTCCCTTTGAATATCAAAATTAATACTTCATAAAAAAAAGTGAAAAGAAACAGAATTGTATCTATTGCTTTACAATGTATGAGATACTGAATATTAGTTGTAATAAGTGTAGTAGTTTGATGAGGCTGATGAGAAATGGAGATCAGCAAGAGAAAAAAGAATTTCTCTTTTATTTGTCAATGCCAAAGGCATCTGGCGAATTTTGTGTTTGTACACAAAGTACAATTGTCGTCTTTTCTTCTTACTATGTTTTTGCTTCTTTCTTTTTTCAGGCTTACAAGTTCCGTGTTCTTTTATTTCGAATGAACACCAACTCATTCACATTAATTAAGCAAGCGTTTGGCCATAGATTCTCAAATATTTTTGGCCAGTCAGTTTTGGTTTTGGTTGAAGTTTCAACATATGTAAGAAATTCACAAAGGAAACTCTTGCAACTTTGCCTCGGCAATTAAATCCTAAAATTGGCATACAAATTGGGTCATTTGATTACTAGAAGGTCTTATACATAGAGTTTTTCATTAAGAGTTGGTGTTTAACTTTTGGCCCGTTTAACAAAAGTAATGCAAATATAAATATTCGATGGCACGAAGCCCAAACAAAATAGCAGGGTGCGAACGGTACTCTTTAAACCGCTTTATAGTTGAAGATGGAGCCGACTGGAAGAGAGAGAGAATAGCATGATTAGTAACCTCCTAGGGGTCGTTTAGTAGAGTGTATAAAAATAAATGTTAAATAGAATGTTAGCAATACTTGTATTAGTAATGCTTGTATTAATTATGCTTGCATTAGTTGTACCTAAATTATTTCTTATGCATTATTTAGTTTGGCGTATTAAAAATAACATGTATTGTACAAAAGTATTTATTTATAAAAATATCCTCCACAATTATGGTGAAAAAGATGTAAAAATGCTTTTGAGGGGTATTTGTGTCTTTAAAGTGCTAATGCATGCATTAAATACCTTTGCATTACTAATACCTAGAAATCCATGGTATTAATAATACACTCCCCACTACACAATAGAGTGTATTAGTTATACATAGCATAAAAAAAGTAATTAACAAAGTACTACTAATACAGAAAGCTAATGCAAACATTATTTTTGTTAATACATTCTACCAAACGACCCCTTACATTATTATTCTTTTTGTGAAAATAAGAGACTAGAAAAAGAAATTTTCTTTTGGTTAAAGATAACTTGTGATTCTCTTCCTCCTCCTTAATTTTCTTCATATAGGCTCTAGAAAGTTAATTTCTTATTTGTGGCTGGTTTGAATTTATTTGGTTGTATAAACTTGAAAATAGCGAGCTTGATTATAAACAAGACAAAGTAGGTTTATTGATTTTTGAATGTCTAGATTGAATTTAACTATTAAAAATCATATAGATTTGACATTAGAATGTTAAATATCTAATATGGAGTTGATTTGGACTATTTTAAAGCAAAAATGTGTAGACAAAAAATTTCCACAATAAATTATGGCGATACACCATGATTTTGTAGCTGAATTATGGCGATCTGGTAAGATTTGTGACAATGCAAGTTTTACCTATTAATTTTAAAATGGGGCTAATCCGTTCAGTCCATCAATATATAACCGTGATAACTTGTCATTATTTTACATTTTTACTACCTACCTAATATTGGGTGCCAACGAGCAAATAATTTGGCCTGTCAATATTAAGATGGTACGAAGGAAAATAAATTACGAAAAATTTGAGATCTCTGATAGCCGTATAACTAATTGTAACGTTAATTTAATGGATTTTATGACGACAAATTTATGAATTATGGCCCCTGAGGTTTAGCTAGATAAGAGAACTACGCCATATTGTAATTTATTTTGCTACTAGTGAACTTAGTCGCGCTTTGCGCGATCATAAATAGCTCGTTAAATTCATCGAACAACTTTTTATAATGTATCAAATATATGAAATTTCAAGTCTTAATTAAATCTAATGTACATGATTTTATTAAAAATGTAGGTAGACTGTGTTTGTCCGTTTCTACGTCTATATAGAGCCATAGACACGCATTCACATAATTGTGGATAATAATTATGAACGATTGTAATGGTAAAAACTAAAAATCATTCATTGGACTATTTTTTAAAACAAATATATGTGATTAATCTGCATTAAATATTATTGATAAATATGAGATATAAAATCAAAAATTGATTTAAAAAAGATAAATATTATTGTTAGTCAAAAGAAGGTATGACATCACTCTTTTTTGTCTAGCTTTAAACTATATGTAACATAAGAATTAGGTAGAAAGTGTCAAACTTTGAAATTGGATGATCAAGCTTTATCGAGAGCTTGAGATTCATCCATGGTTGCTTCTCTTCTGTTGTTGCATTAGGAACGAAGAAGAGAGAAAAAGGAACTGTAAAGCATTGTTTGTGAGAATGTAAAAAACTAATTCATTCCATCTGTAAGTGTACATTTATAGTAGATGAATGGAAAATATCTAACAAATTACTGTGACTAATCTACAGCTGTCAATTAACTAACTAAGTAACCGACTTAATCAAACAGTAAGCTAGACTAATGCACTGTACAACATAAATATACAACACACTACATATTACATATCTCAATACCCCCCCCCCCCCCCTCAAGTTGGAAGGGGTGAAAGGACGACCAACTTGTCAAGAACAGTTGCATGCTTAACGCCAGTGAGAGCTTTGGTCAGGACGTCTGCAAGCTGATCAGAAGTAGGCGTGTGATGTAAAGAAATGAGACCTTCATTCAACTGATTGCGCACAAAATGGCAATCCACTTCAATATGTTTGGTCCTTTCATGAAAAACAGGATTCTTTGCAATGTGTAAGGCAGACTGGCTATCACAGTAGACATGAATAAGAGTGGAAAAAAGGGACAGTAAGTTCCTTGAGAAGCCTATCTAACCACACCAGTTCACCACCAACCTTTCGGATGGCCCTATATTCATCCTCAGCTGAGGACAAGAAGACAGTCTCTTATTTCTTAGATTTCCAGCTGATGGGACAATTGCCAAGAAGAACCAAGTAACCACTAACAGATCTCCTAGAATCAGGACTTGAAGCTCAATCAGAGTCACAAAAGGCTCTGATGGTATAGCAGGGATCATTAGACATGAAAAGGCCCAAAGTAGGATCCCTTTTGAGATACCTTAGTAGATGAAATGCAGCTTTCAGGTGTGGTTCTCTTGGAGATTGCATAAACTAACTAAGATGTTGAACATTATAAGCAATGTCAAGTCTAGTGTTGGTGAGGAAATTCAACTTGCCAATTAGTTTCCTATAATAGGTAGGGTCTGGTAATAAGGTCCCTTCTTTGGCCTGAAGTTTCACATTTGGATTTAGTGGTGAAGTAAAGCTGCTGTAAGTAATACAACCATACTCTTTGAGTAAATCAAGGACAAACTTCCTTTGAGAAATGAGGATACCATCAGCCTTGTATAATATTTCCAATCCCAAGAAATAATGTAATTTACCTAGATCCTTGATTTTGAAGCTGTCATGTAAAAATGCCTTGAGCTGTTGGATTTCAACTAGATCAGTTCCAGTAAGGAGGACATCATCAACATACACTGCTATGAAAGTGACAGAGTGATCTGTCTTTTTGAAGAAAAGAGAATAACCATTCAAAGAGTGTTGATAGCCCCTGGAACAAAGAGCCTGAGTAAGCTTGTCATATCATTGTCTGCTGGCCTGCTTCAAACCATACAATGACTTTCTTAACTTGCAGACTAGATTAGGATTACTGAGAACCAGCCCTGGTGGAGGCTGTATGTAAACTTCCTCATGGAGATCTCCATAAAGGAAAGCATTATTGACATCTAATTGGTAAATATCCCAGCCTTTCTTAGCTGCAGTGGAAATCAAGGCCCTCACAGTGGTCATTTTAATGACAGGGGAGAAGGTTTCAATATAGTCAATGCCAAGTTGTTGAGTATATCCCTTCACCACCAACCTAGCTTTGAACCTTTCAATACTACCATCTGTTTTGTGCTTCACTTTATACATCCACTTACATCCAATGGCTTGTTTATGTGGTGGTAGAAGAACTAGATCCCAAGTATAATTGGCATGTAAGACATGAAACTCCTGAGTCATAGCATTTTGCCAGGCAGGATTGATGTCAACCTCTCCATAAGAAGAAGGCTCATTGTCATGACAAATACTCTCAACAAGATTCTGACTATGATGGTTCAATGAGTCAGGTGTAATGTGTTGGTGTAAGGAAAATAAAGCATTAAGGGAATAAGATATAGGCTTCAAGGAGTGGACATAGTCATTGAGGTGGACAGGGACCTTAGATGTCCTAGTAGACCTTCTCACCACAGGAGCATGAATGGTAGGTGATGGAGTGGAAACATGTATTACAGGTTCAAAAGGGTCTATGGGCAAACTATTAGGACTAATAACTGGAGAGTTATTATGTGGTGTAGAGTTATTATGTGGTGATATGGGAGACATCTGAATGGCAGTGCTGGGATGACAACTTGTATTAGTTGACACATAGTGCATATGCTCCTCATTACAATCATTATTGGAGTAAAAAACAACATCAGGAATATGTCTACATGAATCAGTAAAAGAAAGCAATTTAAAAGGAAATATGCTCTCATGAAAAATAACATCTCTAGATATATGTATCTTCTTAGTGGCTAAACTTAGGACCTTGTACCCCTTAGTTCCAAAAGGGTATCCAACAAACACACGGGGAGTAGTTCTAGGGTCAAATTTGTGGTTGAGATTTTTTGGAGTAGTGGGCTAGTATAGGCAACCAAACACTTCCATGTGGGAATAGTTTGTTTTTTTTTCTGTAGGAGTTCAAAAG